ATTATGTTTCATACTGGTTGAAGCAGTTTTATTTCCGGTATGTCTGAGAAAACGCATATACTAGTAAATAAATGTCTTAATGTGCAGATAGAAAATTGACCCATCAAAAGTACCAAATCAAGTAGATTTTGATAAGCACTTTTCATACAGTGAGTTTGGTAAATTAAATTTTGGGCAAACTCTGAAGAATACAATTTTAAAAGTGTTTTGGTAAACGTTGGGCAAACATTTTCAGTATATGCAGTAAAATATTTGAAAATTTGATTAACAATCAATAAATTAAAATAATTATCTGTAATAATTAAATCAATAAATAAAGTAATCTGATTTCAAATGCAATTACTACCCTATCTATCAAGCTAGTTCATGTGGATTACACAATGCTGAAAATTTTGCATACAATTTAACTAAAAAATGATAAATTTGTACCTCTTCAGAAGATCTATCCACATACACAAAATGTGGATTCTCCACTAAAGCCTCAGCATCCACATGTGATTTATAAGATAATTCACAGAATAAATCTCTTCTATTAAAATTAAATGATTTACAATCTGAGTAGGAACTACATTCCTTAGAACAACCACGGAATCCTATAGGACTGAGCGACGTGATGACATATCCGGTCAGTCGGGAATTCTGGGACTGACCAAATGACAGCAGAGTGGAAAAGGACATCAGGAATACCGACCGTAAAACATCAAAGCTACTTCCCATATCCATTTCGAGAAAACTAATCGAAAAAGAAGCTCCGCTTTCGTTTTTGTTCTCCCTCAATCCCCCTGAGATTCTGCTATTAGATGATCGATTTAATAAGATCTTGATCAGTGGCGTATGATTGTATGCTCAAGCGTGCACGCCATTTTGCCAAAATAAACGAATAATAAAAATAAATAAGTAAAAAATTAAGTTACCTTCTTCCTAGTTACGTACATTTTTTATCACTGACATATCAGGCCAGTAGGAAGCAATTTCAGTGGGGGGGGGGGGGGGGCAGAGCCAAACATTTTTCAGTTGACAATTGAGGGGGCACTACGAAAAATTTCCTGACAAGCAAAAAAAGAAAAAAAAGGGCGTCAACTACCAAAAATTCCTTGACAAGCAAAAAAAAAAATAAAATAAAATAAAATAAAAATAAAAAAAATAATCAAAAAAAAGGTCATCAGACGTTTTTATTGAGGGGGCACAAGCATATAGTATCAATGTTTACTATAGTAATCTATACATTGGCAAAATTATTTGCCCCCCCCCCCCCCCCCCGGTTCTTACGGCCATGCATATGTAGTTTATGTGAGATATATACTTATTATATCCTGTTTTGTTCTGAATAGTCCATTTATTTTATAACATCTTTTCTCAAATAAATCCGTAAATATAGAATTTTGTGTCTTTAAGTTCATTATTTCTTGAAAAAATATTCAAGTACGAGTGCCAAAATTTTTAAGGCAGCTATCAAGACGCTTTAACCCCCTCCCCCAATATATAAAATTCAATGCGCTCTCTTCTACTAATAGTATTATTTGTGCCGCCCTGTATATCTAAATCTAATGATAAAAACAGGGTGTCCAAATACATGTATATTTCTTCGATTTCTTTTGTGATTTTATGAATGTTTATATCGTCAGAATCCAGGAGCTTCGAGGGGCTTCGCCCCCTGTGTCCCTACCAGGGCTTCGCCCTGAACCCACTTGGGGCCTCGGAGCGCCCCCCACACCCCCTGCAATTTTGAGTATGCACTTCATTTTGTGCCTAGCTACGCCACTGTTGATCTTTTAAAAGTGAATTTACAGGGTTGTGTGTGTGTGTGTGTGTGTGTGTGTGAAAACTAAAATGACCTCAGTGAACATGCAAAGTTTCAGGAAAATCTACCGTCTGGATATTTTTAGGGCAGGCGCGTACAGGGGGATGGGGGCAGCCAGAAAAAAATTACCTGAAAAAAAACTTTACAAGCAAAAAAAGGTATAAATTGTTAAAAATCCTATTTCGTGAGGGGGGGGGGGGCAATTTTATTTTCACAACCAAATATAAATGCATTAATTACTACATTACCATGATTTAACTATATCGCAACAAAAAGTGGGGGATTGCATTCCGGTATTCAAAATAGATAGAAGGAAAGAGTCGGTATAATTACCAAGTGACTCAGGGAATTGGGGGGGGGGGGGGGCTACATCTGACGATAGGGAGAGAACATTTAAAGACTCTTTTCAGCCCGTATATCAATTTCATTCCTTTTTAAATTTGATTCCTGATTCGAGGGTTTTCTAAATAATTGCATTATCGAAGAAACAGCAATAAATTTTTATCATTAGTCTTAGGAGGCCTGGTCTGTGGGAATTACCATGAGTACTAATTGTGCCCCTTTATTAGCAGACCTATGAAGCAGAATTTATTCAAAATCTTCTACATGAAAAGAAGAAAACACTTGCTGTGTCCTTCAGTTTCGACATTAAGATATATCGACGACTTTTCAAAAGAAATTTGTAGAATGATTCGGTTTGCTATTGATTCCTGGCAATCGAAGTAATTACTTCACGATCTCTCAACATGTCTCTCGGGTCAGGGGGTTCATACTTTATTTAAAATATCACTAGGGTTATAATAAGATGAATTGAAAAACAGTTGGAAAGAGAAAAATTAATCAAAGCATTCATGTAAGAGTTATTTTAAATATTTAACCTGGCGTATTATTTATTATTAATTGAATTTTTAACCATGCATTCGATGGAAGAGACTTAAGAGTGTAATTGATCTCTGAAGCTTGAGTTTAATTTTTTTGTCACTATATGACAAGGAAGATTGACGGAAGGACGGGGATATCATGTGATTAGATAAAAAGAACCAAATATCGACTTATTCTTATAAATGTGCGTTTTTACATGTATGTGCATATATGCCCCAATTTATTACAGCCGTCCTTCAGGTTTCAGCTCGGATCAACAACTGATCCAGGAAGGTTAACAAAAATATAATATAATATATCTCAAATATTCAAAATGTTACCTCATCTAGAAATTCTCAACAACAACAAAATGATAAAATTTTGTTACCGGTTAAGTTTTAGAACGTAACCACTCTTGTACGCCCTCGTGGCCAAATCGAAATTTCACAAATCTTATTGCACATCCAAATGAGCATAAACTTTATAAATAAATGAGCAAAAACTTTATGAATAAATAAATAAATAACATTTTGTTATTGCCTAAGTTCCAAAAATAATTTTAGGCTACTCTATAACTTTTGAGGAATAGCAATAAGTTATAGAAAAGGCTAATATTATTTTTAGGCGGCAATAATTATTTTTTTCAAGTGATGCTCTGCAGGTTGAAGATGTGCAAAATGATATCAATACTGCAAGTTTAAACATGGATTTTTTTATGAGTGATAATATTCACTAGTAAATCTTTTTTGCAATTATTTTTTCTCTTATTGATATTTAATTTCTGTCTTGATCAAACATGCAAGATGGCAATAATTATGTACACTTTCAATCATGATTTAGATTCTAAGATTCTGCATCTGACCTGTATTTTTTCCAGATCTGTTTTGAGTGAACTCCATTCCTAAGAAACTATGTTTTCTTTTATCAATAATACATGTATTATCATTCCTGCTTCCTGTGCTGTATATAACAAACAATTTATGGAAAAGTAATCAGGAAGAAGTTTTAATAGTCCATTATCAAGTAATAGAATTCCTACCTGAACCAATCTTGTATAGATGTTGCATTTTGGGATGCACACTATATCAGTTATACTTGGATGCTCGAATAGTTGTGCATTTTTCTACAAGTTTAGGACAGTTTTATTTCCAAGTGGCCATATAATTTACCCTGTGCAGTATTAAATAGAAGCTACCTATACTTAGATGGACTCTCTCATGTTTCAGATGCTGCCAATGTATGTCATTTTCCGATATCATTGAATATTAAATGAAGTTTTAAAAGTACTTTTATTTTTTTTAATTGCTGATCAAAGATGCTTATATAATGCAAGTAATGATACTTACAATTAAATATGCTATAAATGCTGCCCCGGATGCTGACTTTAAATTATCTTGAGTTGAAATAGTGAACCATACATCATTTCTATCAGTTGTATAAAGCTAACAGAAAATTATTATGGACTCTGTCATTATAATTTAGGTTACCTGAGCCGAAGGCTGAAGTGAGCTTTTCTGATCAAAATTTGTCGTCTGTCAACGTTATCATACTTTCCACATTTTCATCTTCTCCATATATGACTGCGCCCATGAGAAAAGGGTGCTTGTGGCATTTTTACTAAAACAGAGAAATAACGTCGTAAAGATGTGACCTTGAGGAAAGGAAATTCAAATTTTTGTTCATATGAAGCGCCACCCCCTCTTTCAAGGGGAGATAATTAAGAATTAGTGTAAATTTATTGGCATCTTTTAAAAAAAATTTCTTCTCAAGAACCACTTGACTGGAAAAGATGAAACTTGTGTGAAAGACTCATTACACAGTGTAGATTCAGATTTGATCAAATCATGACTCCCTGGGGTAGGCAGGCCACAAAAGATGATAAAACTTTACAAAGGAATATTATAAGGAAAAATCTTTAAAAAAAAAATTCTCAAGAACAGCAAAGCTATGATTAGTCATATTAATATGGAAGCATCCTGGAGTAGTGTAGATTCAAGTTTGTTCAAATCATCACCCCCAGGTAGGACCACTTATATATTTAATCTTTTCAATATTGATTCAATTTCTACTTTCTCTAGCCAAAGTGCTCAAGTGACCAATGTGGTCCAAGGGTCTCTTGCTCTACTATTCTGATGACATTATTTTTCAGGCTTTGTTGCATGTGTCTTTTGTTTTTAAGCCATGTCATTGCTTCATTAATCTATGACATCACTTTCTGACATGTCTTGAAAGAGAATGAATAAAGGAAGACCCTGTGGTATAAAACACTGCTTTATTCAATGGGAAATAATTAGTAAACACCAAATGTATAACAAAAATACAATAACTAAATAACTGAAATACACCAAATGTATATTAAAAAATGCACTAACTAAATGATACAACTGTAACCTAATTTATATATCTATGAAAAAAAATCATAATGCGATAATCACAACTTAGATCAATTTGATTGTTCTATAAAATAATTTTATAAATAATGCCCTGACTGTTTAATTATGGAATGTCAATATCTAAATAGTAAAATCAGGATTCAACATATCTGTGGATAAAATCACTTATCAATTTAACAATCAATTCATCAATGTTCAATACAAATCAACCTTTAAAAAATCATTGAATAAACACTAATCTTTGGTAAACTAACATATAAACCCACATTCATTCAGTAAAATTACATAATGAATCTAAGAATCCAGAGTAACAGGCCCTAAAACTTAATTAAGCTACTTGTTGTTTTTTTTCTCTCAAATTTTTGCTTGGTCACAAGAAACCTCTAAAGTCCTAAACTCCCTGTCATCATTGAGGAGGTTTAGGCTCTTCCCCCACACCTCCCGCCATCTTGTAGACCACAGCAGCCACCTCATAGGCCAGCTTATCAGCGGCAGTCGGAGAGTCCGCCTCTGCATAAACACGGACAACATCCTCTGTACCAGAGGGACGCACAAAGGAACGACCTCTAGTGTACTGGGCTACAAGGTCATCAATGGCATTCTGAAGACCTGGGGGAGTGGAGGCTTTTCTCTCAGCATCTGTGGTTTGGATTACAGAGCGGTCTTTGACCTTGACCTTCAGCTGTCTGTTAGGAAGATCTGTGTAAGCTTTGTTCCATTGTTCTACATCCCAGTCCAGGCTAGCTAGGATCATCTCAACAAGGAGCATGTCAGATATTGCATCACCTATAGTTTGATTTATCAAGTCTATGACACAAAGCAGTAGATCACACGCTTCTCTTTGTTTTTCTGTCAGTTTGATGTCTTGAGCTGCTTTCTGCAAGAGAGCATATGAAGAGTCACTCACTAAAGCAGTACCATGGCCATTGGCCTCAAAGTACACCCCGATGTCAAATTCTTGTGCTTTGTGATGAAGATGTTTCACTCCTGTTGGAACACAAGCCACTGGGACCTTTAAGGTGTCTGTGATGTAGCTAGTGGAACTGCCATTAGCATAGGCAGTCTGAACAATTCCAAGATTGATAGAGAGTCCTGTCTCTTGAACAAGATCTTTAAGGTACCCAGCCACTAATGTTGCAATTTTGTCACCATCTAGGAGATGAAATTCTTTATCTGTAACACCAAGAAAGTAGTATACAATTCTGTCTGCATCACCATCAAATGAAGCCCATCTCTGCCCAGGAGCCAAGCTAACTCCTGCTGGAGGTTTCTGTTGAACTTTAACAAAATCAGCTCCACATTCATGATTCAGTTTACCACTTCCATCATTCACAAGGTTGATCTTCAGAAGTTCCCCTAATCTAGCCTGCAGAGTAGGGACCTTTCCTCCCCCCACTCCATTTGCTGCATCCAAGTAAAGACAGGCATTATAAGATTCCAGTATTTTCATCTTTTTCATTTTTCTCATGTTTCTCAATTTGAGGAAAGCCCCTGTGAGTTTCTCGAAGTAACCATCTTCTGTGGGTTTTCCATACTCTCCATTGGTGTTAATACACCGGACAATATAATGCAATTGTGGTGTAGTAAGAAGACCAAAGTTCTGACATTGGGCACCTGCTGTTTTGATCCCTGCCTCCAGGGCTTCTGCAAGGGTCACACTGCTTGGTCTTGTGTCACGGGCAAATACCACTCGACTATTATTGAGACTTGTTACTCCGAGAGCCTTCACCAACACCTGGAGGGCGGATCCAAGCTCATTATCAGATACATTTGCAATTTCTGTAGCGTATTTTTCCCATTCTGGACCAAGCATTTCTCCCATTGGATCCACCAATTTGACACCATTATCCTCTTCCGGGTTGTGAGAAGCTGTAATCATAACACCTATCGTGGCTCCATTTTTACAAGCAGATCGAATGGCTGCCAAAACACCCATCCTGTAAATAACATGATTTAGACGATTTCCTTTCGTTCTAAATCCGGCTGTACCATACTGAATAGGTGTTTCATCTTGTTTTGCGTATTTCTTTTCGCCGGCAACTTGCACGTCAACAAAATCCATTTTGCCCAAAATGAAAGTTGAATTGTTAACACGTACGATTAGCTGATATAGCTGATGGCTTCCAGCAAGGATGAAAATCTCAGTTACTGTATAATATTTATTAAGCCATGTATTGCATCAATAAAAATATTTGTCTATAGACAGTCTGATAGCATTTCAGGAAATTCAATTCTCATTTTCGCCTATTTTTCTATTATTAGAAATACGAATGTGATTTTGAAAGAGTTAACCAGTGGAAAAATTCAAGATGGCTAAGTCCCCTTTCGTGAATTCAATGTTGCAAAGTCTTTCGCAGGGCCATGAAAAAGCCTTTCAACAAGCACTCTACACGACAGCAGCCAATATTTTTGTTCTACTTGCAGGAGGATCAGCTATCGCTGTGTATTTTATTCTAGAAGCTTTCCTCCGACCTTTGTTGTGGTCTGTGTTGTGTGGAACATTTTTGTACCCCTTCAAGCGTGAATTGACAGCAATACTAAGACGATGGTTACGTGGTTTACAAGAGTCGGGGACACCTTTTGCTATAGGAATAGCATATTTACCAATACAAGCTGTTGACTATACTTATGTTATGATGTTTGATCGTACTATTGTTAGACACTGGAAATTACTATGTGGGGGAATTATAAGCTTGTTTTTGATTTATATATTGTGGTATTTTGGCCCAGTAAGAAGTATACTGGAAATGTGTTATGCAGTATTTATTTTTGTCTCTGAAGTTCTGGATTATTTTACATCATTTTGGGTAAGCGTGCTGCTTTGCATTTACATAAATATTTAATCCATATGTTCAGGTGATGTGGCATATCCCAAAGAGGGAAATGAAGAGGGTGAAAGGCTCTTTATAATTAGTTTTTAATAAATGGTGCAAACATTTTTAGAGCATGAAGCACACCTTTAGCTCTAATGGGTGGAAACCAGAAGAGCTTATGCATTGAAAAGGTATTGGTTGTCTGTCTGGCTCGCTTTTTATCTGAAGATTTTCAAATCACAACATCTCCCTGTTCAGATGTTAGTAAAACTTTGTACATTTATTTATTATACTACAGTTAGATACATAATGATTACTGGTTATTGATTTTTGATTGTGATAACCTTATTTCCATGGTTACTTGACAAAGAATATTTAATCTGTGGACTTATTTTAAATGCTACTCTCCTTACAGTTTTGGTCTGATTTCCATAAAAGTTAGTACAAGTTTAGAAAACATGAAGATACTAATTTCTCTAATGTGTATAATTGTTAAACTAAAAAAAGTAAAGCCTTTATCTTTTACACTATTTTTTCTGCACTATTATAAACTAACAGCTGTAGAGCTACTGTCTCATCAGAAACCACCATTCATTGTTGTATATTTTATCTCTTTCAGGTATGGACTCTTGTGGTTGCATATCTTATTGTGGTCATCTTTCTGTGGAATGCTGAATCTAAGAAGTATTTACGTCTTTTGTCCCTGCCTATCTGGGGTGTGCTTATTCTTCACATAGCCACCGTAGCTGGGTCTCTCCGTGTCCCACTCTTTCTGTTAATTATTGGATTGATTGCCACTGGATTTGCAACTGAAGTAAAAGAAATAAAGAGAAGAGTAGAAGAACAAGGTTGTCCCCATGTTTATTGAAAATACAATCATCTTATATTTAATTTCAAAATAAGGCCTATATTAAAATTTTATTTGCTTTTGCAAATGAAAAAAAACTCAAAAAAGTGCTTATCTACTGAAAATATTTTAATTGCTATTAGGAGTGAAACGGTTCACCGCGGTATCGATTCACCGCGGTATTTTTTCTCGGTTTGATACACCGTGCAAAATCTCTAATTTTCGATTCGGTTCATTTTTCGGTCAGGATCGTTATTCAGTTGGGTTTGGCATAAGGTAAACACGTTACTCAGTATAAATAAGTATAGAAAACGTAAATTTTTGATGACTGATAGCTTGTAAAATAATTTTTGACAGTCAAATAATTTTAATCAATTTCTTCTAGTCAATTTGCAAATAAAATTCGTAAAATATGTGACTAGATTTAGAAAAAGAAAGCCTAAAACAACGTTGAATTTGTTTCCTGCTATCAAAATGTATCGTATCGAAAATAACCGAACCGAGATAAAATTATACAATACGTATCAAACCGAGAAGGAGGTGTATCGTTTCACCCCTAATTGCTATGTTTTTCACCAAGATATTTTGCTCTCAAATTTCAAATATGTTATGGTGGTGTTGACAATAGATTCCAGAAAACAAAAGCAGAAATATGGTATTCAATTAAAAATTAATTTTGTTGATTTATCAATTTTCCTCTGAGAAAGAGAAATCAGATATTTCCTACTTACCTAAAACAGATACAAAAAGTGACCTACAAAAAAAAAAGATAGGCCTTTCCAAATTATTTGAACATTACCGATATGTAATGATTGAAAAGTTTTAGCATGTTTGAATTGCTTTTTTGAATTTTTTTTAAAATCCTACATGAATTAATTTATGGCATAATACAAAAATTTTTATTAAGATTATAAATATTTTCGTCTTACAGGACAGAGTATATCTGATGTGTTGGCTATTTGGACAGTATTTACTGGTGACTTGGAGAGAGCCCTACAACAAGGACAGGAGTCTGATACTGACCTCCTGGACTCGTCTTCTGAGATCTCTACTGCAGAAAGCTTCGAGGAAACAGGTAGAATTCTTATTCCTCCACTGTACATTTATTTAATCTGTACATATCACAGGTAATTTCTGGAATTGTACAATTCTGGTGGTTCTTTCAAAATTGCAAATAATAGAATTGCAACATATTTAGAATTGTAAGTGTTTGAAATTTAAATGAAATTCAGAAAAATATTGCAAGTGCAGAAATTGATATGCCACTTTTGAAGATTTCAAATCACAAAAATTTCAAGTCACAGTAATTTCCTATTAAACAGTATACTGGTACCTTGTTTCTATTTATAAACATGATAAAAGAAATACATAAACAGACACAAAATTTTGAGTGATTTTGTATGCTAGTGTCTTGTTACATTTGTGATGTTTATGTATGTTTAAACACTTTGGTATAATAGTGCATAAATATCATAATTTTATAGAAGAACATAAATAACAGATATTTTTTAAATTCAATTGGAAAAATGTCAACCATATATTAGTACTTGGTGGATCATATTGATATTGGTCATCTTTTTATACAGACAAAAGTCAGAAATCTGCTGGTGTTACAAAACCAACAGACCTGCCACTCCCTAAACCAGAATCCACCACCCCAAAAGTTAGATCCACCAAAAAGAAGACTGTACGAGTTGTGGAGGATAAAGGCCCTGGTAGCACTATATACTTTGTATATTTATTTTGGGCCCTCGTACTCACCCGAGTCTGGATGAACATCTGGTTACTTCAGCTACTTGTCCCTTTGTTAGGCCTCATGTGGATTTTTAAAGCTTTTGGTATGTACAGTTGTAGCTGTAATTTGTAATGAAAGATTGCCTTTAATTCAATAGTACAGTGTAAGAAACATAATTGTACATGTATATTTTACTGTATCCTCTCCTCTCCTGTTATGAAATTATGTTGCGGAAACAAGATTGGAGTAAAGAGTATTTGTGTTATAAGGACTTCATTTGTATTTTTTTCATCATTCAATAGTACACCAGCTGAAACCTGGGGGATTTTTTGGAGATAAGGTGGAAACTTGTAAGACAGCAGTCATGGAGTGGTACACCGCTAGAAAAGACGTGTTAGCTCCTAGATGGGTGATTGGTCTCCTGAAACTCTTTAGCCGTGGAGATGCTAAGGTATATTTAGGATCTTTTTGATTTTCTCTACTTATTTATTATATTCCATTAAACCTGATAGGTACAGCGTTGTAAGTGTAAGTAGTTCATCAAGATTCCTAAACATTGATGAAGAACTGAAACCAGTGTTGTTTTGCTTATTTGAGTTTTCTCCCCTGCTTTTAAGATGATGTCAATCTTGGATGGATCTATGGACAAGTTCACCAGTATACTGTTTATATTCATCCTACTTATTGGATCCACTCTCTTCACTATCTTCTTTGCTGTGCAGGTTTTTAATTATCATCATTTCAATTAATCAATATTTAATTACATGTACATTTATAAAGAGCGTAATTTTTACCTAAATAACTTTTTATTTATTTTTAAATTTTGATTTATTGAAATACAGGTTCACCAAGAGAGCATGCACCTTTTCAAAATCTCCAGTAATGTACTCAACAGTACCAGGGAATATGGAGAGTAAGTTATACACAATCTCCAGTAATGTACTCAACAGTACCAGGGAATACGGAGAGTAAGTTATACACAATCTCCAGTAATGTACTCAACAGTACCAGGGAATACAGCGAGTAAGTTATACACAATCTCCAGTAATGTACTCAACAGTACCAGGGAATACGGAGAGTAAGTTATACACAATCTCCAGTAATGTACTCAACAGTACCAGGGAATACAGCGAGTAAGTTATACACAATCTCCAGTAATGTACTCAACAGTACCAGGGAATACGGAGAGTAAGTTATACACAATCTCCAGTAATGTATTCAACAGTACTAGGGAATACGGAGAGTAAGTTATACACAATCTCCAGTAATGTACTCAACAGTACCAGGGAATACGGAGAGTAAGTTATACACAATCTCCAGTAATGTACTCAACAGTACCAGGGAATACAGCGAGTAAGTTATACACAATCTCAAGTAATGTACTCAACAGTACCAGGGAATACGGAGAGTAAGTTATACACAATCTCCAGTAATGTATTCAACAGTACTAGGGAATACGGAGAGTAAGTTATACACAATCTCCAGTAATGTACTCAACAGTACCAGGGATTATTATTTTTTTCTATTGTTGCCAGCTATCTGATTGGCTCAAACTAGATCACATGATCAAATATAAAAAGTCTTATAAACTGGGTGTGTCTATTTGAAGCTTCTAAAAAAAAATTAACTAACCTGCTGTTTCTAAAATTGGAAACGTTCTTCTTTGAAGCAACAATAGTGCTGACCTCCCAATAGACTGGATGTTTCTAAAAACATGGATTTAAAGACTTTTCTTATTAACTGATAAAAAAAATAATAAAACAATTGTAGCCTTTTGATTTGGTACAATTCCTAGATATATAGACCTTAGAGAAAGCAGATCGACCTCGCACTTCATGCTCGGTTGATATGCTTTCTCTAAGGTCTATATCTCTAGGGATTGACCTCATCAAAAGGCTATAATTGTATGATATGGAGAGTAAGTTATACAAAATCTCCAGTAATGTACTCAGTAGACCTGGGAATATGGAAAGTAAGTTATACATGTACAAAATAGAATTTCATGACAATTCATGACTTACATGTTGCCAGACTGTTTCAGACTGATATAAAAGTGTGTTACAAAACTTTTTACTATAAGAGTCCATTTTCTTGTCTCCATCAGTCTTTTACAAATTGTGGTATAACTGTGTAAATCTCCATTACAGGAATTTAAACATCTGTTTTTTCCTAATACATGTACTGTTTTAAAGGATAGGCCACATAAAATGAATTGTTAGATTCTTCTCATTCTTCTTCAAAAGGAGCTGGTCTCTATCACGTATTTTGTTTCAATTTAAAATAAAAATCTATGCATTTTTTCAGTATAAGTTCTATATTTAATAAACTAAACTATAGTGACCGAGTTCCTAAATTACAGGTGGTTACCTATGAACATTTATAAGTGACCGAGTTCCTAAATTACAGGTGGTTACTTATGATCATTTATTAGTGACCGAGTCCCTAAATTACAGGTGGTTACCTAAGAACATTTATAATTGACCAAGTTCCTCAATTACAGGTGGTTACCTATGAACATTTATAAGTGACCGAGTTCCTCAATTACAGGTGGTTACCTATGAACATTTATAAGTGACCGAGTTCCTAAATTACAGGTGGTTACTTATGATCATTTATAAGTGACCGAGTCCCTAAATTACAGGTGGTTACCTATGAACATTTATAAGTGACCGAGTTCCTAAATTACAGGTGGTTACCCATGAACATTTATAAGTGACTGAGTTCCTAAATTACAGGTGGTTACCTATGAACATTTATAAGTGACTGAGTTCCTAAATTACAGGTGGTTACCTATGAACATTTATAAGTGACCAAGTTCCTATATTACAGGTGGTTACCTAAAGGAGAGGACATGCAGGTGGCCATGGATTCCATGGTGGGCAATGCTTACTTGTACGGCAGAAAATGGATTGCAACAAAGGCAAGGATATAAACAGTTTCACAACTAACAATTTCACAACTAAGTCCCTAGAAAGTGCCTGTAACGTCTTTAAAAAAATTATTGCTTTTAGACAAACTAAGTTGATGCAAAGGTAATGCCTTCTTCCAAACAAAAATTCAATCTTTTTAGCCTTATTATGATAGTTTTTAACTTAGACATTATGGAAAAAAAAGTCCTTGTTATAACAGATTCTTCACATTTTAAAGATTTTGTATTTGAATTTTCACCAGAATGTTACATCACAGAAAAATGAAATCCTTTTCTTTCTTTTTGACTCAAAGTTCTGAACTACATATTGTAGGTTCATGAATTGGTTGGGGGTCAAGAGGGAGCCAACACAACAAAAATAGAAAGCAAAGTACTAGAGGTTTGGGATAATCTCTACCACAGCTGGCTGGCAAGGGTAAGCTCACACAGCTATAAAAGTCATGATTGGAAAAAACTATCAAAATACAATTTAAAAATTTGAGAAAATTTCAGCTCTGAGATATGTATATATTAAAATAATTTTCTAGCTTTGTTTTCTTTGGTGTTGTGCAGATTTCAGATACGAGCCTGTGGCTCAATCGAGCGGTAAGCCCTTCTCAATTCGTCACTCTGTGGTGCTCAGATATTGACTGGAGTAGTGTCCATCTTTTGTCCACATTAGCTTTCATTTTTTATATTCTTACAATAATACCATCGTAGAAAAAGTGTATTATCTAAAAATAAAATTCTGCTTCCTCAGTTTATTGAAACTCGGATATTGAAGATTCTTTCTGCTTAATTATGTATACATGTAGATATGCAGATTTTCTAAAGTATATACATGTACTATGAGAGTTTGGTAGGGACATACAAGAAAAGATTGAATATACTTGTACATTTTCATAGTTAAAGTTTGATGTACGTCTAAGCTAGTCACTCTCTCTATCATTCCATGGTGAATTGGAGTTCAATACACTGTGCTTATATGAAAGAAAAATAGATTTTCAAAGCTGAAAAATAAAATGCATGATTAAATACACACTTTCTGAAGGACCTGGTATGTACATGATAGACTGCATGATGAGGATAATGTTGATTGGTAGGGGAATAGACTAAATCCAAGGCTTACTCTTTATAATGGTTCTGTGACAAATAAATTGGGCACTTAGGGTTTATCTGTGTCCCTGCATGTTTGTTGTTAGGCTTTTCATGGAAATCCAGAAAGATTTTAGTCAAGAAAGTCATCTAGATACCTTTATACTGGATAGTATGTCATTAACAATGTATAGATTTAAAAACTAAGAAGTCAAGATTTCATTGTACTAATATACATGTACACCAGAAGCTAACAATGTAGTAAAATAGTTATACAGTGTACTGTACCTTACTTATAATAACAGTGATTATACCATATATAGATTTTAACACAAAGTTGGTTTGATGTTTGATGAGATAAATTTTGTAACTTGTGTATATGATTGGTGGTTGACAAGTAAATAAGTCAAGAGATGAATGATAACTTTTTATTTCTTTAGATAAATCTTTTTGCTGAAACATACATCCATATTGCTCTTGTTTATTTAGTTTTATAACAATAAGAACACGTACCGTAATCTGTAGTTTTTAAACTATCCTTGTCTCTGAATTAGGTACATTTAATTCTAAAAGTTGAACCTGTCCATGTTTTTTGTCCAGTTAAATTGAGCATAACTGTTAAAATTTTCTAAGACAAAGTCTTCAAAATTTCTATGCAGAATCTCTGAGTTATGGGGATTCAATAATTTATGTGGTGGATCCACAAGAATAGGGAGGAGTAAGTAGGTTTGAATGGACAAGGGATGCACAGTGATTAACAAACACATCTTGCTTTCTTTGACTCTAATAAACAAAAAAGAACTTGTGCACTAAGTCAAATTGTGATATTTATTTTGAAAAATTGAACAGAGTGTTGTACATAGCTTTCATTAATCTTAAAGTTTTTTTTTTTTTAATGTACATTTAAGTTGACAATTTTGATTTGGCTAGTCTCAATGTATTTTTGTATTAATTTTTTTTTTTACAGCACCTTGTACTTTCATAACAAATGTTTTATATATATATATATATATATATATATATATATATATATATATATATATATATATATATATATATATATATATATGCATAATTTACTTAACTATAATGAAAGATTTTGCATTACTTTTGTAGTGTTTTTGGATAATTTTTTGCAGTTCTTTAATTTTTGCAAAATAGCATTGTAGTTGAAACTACCACACCAAAAGCTTGATTAGCAAAATATTTAATTTTCATAGCTTTGGCATTTTAGATGCAAATGAATCACAAACATAACAATTTTGAATGCTGCCAATAAAGTATGAATTTACAAAAAATTTAGAACAGCAGAAATTACCTGTTATATGTTGCTTTCTTTCTGGTTGGCTAGTTGAACTGATTTGATTTTTTTTTTTTTTTACATAACAGGGTGCGTCCAATCACAGTGTGGCAAAACCAAGCTTTCAAATCGTCCCTACTGAGATGCCAGACTGGAGGTCAATTTATGAGTTTGGGATGCAGGGAAAAAGTTTCAATTATTCCCAAGTGATGGAATTTGTTAAAGACAACATTGGAACGTTTGTATCTGTAAGAAAATATAGGAGGAAAATCTTCTCTTTAAAAATGATCGGTGTCATTGTTTGCATTGCATTATGGGATGACTATAAGAGAATGGTCAAAATCGAATACATATTTACATCATAACACGTAAAATGAAAAATGATCTTCAGCTGGCTAAAATGAAATTTTTCTGTAAATATGATGGAATATCTACAGAAGATGAATATAGAAATAAAAGTCAAGAAATACAAGAATGATATGCACATCAAAAATTTAGAACAATCTTGAAAGTTTAGAATAATATTCTGCAAACTTTAAACATCACTGAAAATGTAAATTATGTAAAGAAAACTAGCTAATTATAATGGTTTTAATAATTTAAAGTTCTCTCTCTTTACATAGAGATTTTTTGTAAAAAGGAAATGATATTGCAGGTTTTGGAGAATGTTTGGATGGTACTTAAGGGTAACATGAGTTTGATGCTCAGTATTGCCACGGCAGCCTTGTCAATCATCTTAGGTGGAGGGACAGCCATACTGAACTTTATCATCTCAGCTGTAAGTTCTAGCACAGTCCAGTCAGGTGAAAAGAGAAGTTTGGTAAAGTCATGACCCCTCTAGGAAGGACCGCCCCTTTCTATAAGCTTCCAGATCAAGTTAACTCCCTTTTAAGCTGTCAGATCAGGTTAACTCCCTTGTAAGCTGCCAGATCAGGTTAACTCCCTTTTAAGCTGTCTGATCAGGTTAACTCCCTTGGAAGCTGTCTGATCAGGTTAACTCCCTTTGCTATAGACTATTTTCCTGATCAGCTGTCAGATCAGGTTAACTCCCTTTTAAGCTGTCAGATCAGGTTAACTCCCTTTTAAGCTGTCTGATCAGGTTAACTCCCTTTTTTACAGGCTATTTTCCTGACCACTCTCTTTTATCTGCTGGCATCAAGTGGGAAGCAGTTTAAACCAATGGAGTGGATTTCTGGCCTTAACCCTCACCCCTCAGGCAGTAAATTCAGCCTGGCTGTAGAGGAGGCTATAGGGTAGGGAGAATTATTTATGTACCTTTTTTTTATTATTATTAAATCATCAATGCCATTTTGTCAGTCTGGTTTACACAGCAAAATGTGCCACGTACGTATCACGTACGTTAAACGTATGTGATACGTACGTGACTTCACGTACGCATCACATGAAAAAAGCACCACGTATGTTAAACGCACGTTTTCACACGTATGAATATCATGCGTGACACGTACGTTAAACATACGTATTGACTACCATACGTTACACACATGTTGTACACGTACGTTATTCATATGGTTCACGTATGAATAACGTACGTGCAACGTGTGTGTAATGTATGTTTTTAGAAACATGCGTTTAACATGTTTGTTAAATGCACTGCTCATATGATAAATGTATAAGTACCATACATGTGCCAAACCATGGTTAAACATATGTTTTGACCACCGAATATTCTTTTTCACATATATATTGTAAACATACGTGAAACAAAAATGATGTGCAATTAAAATATTCATTTCATGCATTTGACATAATTTTCTTCAGGGGCTTATTTTCTTTTCATCTGTTGAATGATCCACATTTTGAAGGTACATATCTGGATATCCTTCACCTCAAATTTCCTGATCCTAATTGCTCTTTAGGCAATCACAACAAAAGACATAATCAAATTTAAGCCAATTTTAATGTTGAGATGTTAACATCAATTCATTCTTCTGCAGTTCTCTTTCATCTGTAAAGAAAAAGAAAATATTAAATGAATTTGCATATGGAAAAACACATAGTTTTTTTTTTCAGAACATTATTTTCTACATATAATTACTCCTGGTTGACTCCCTTTAGAACTAAACTAGAACTGTCCAATATGAACAAATACCCCCCACTGGGTTTTTCAGAGAAGATGCCAAGTCACTAATACTAGTATTTTAGGATCTAAAAGGTGTTCAAAAATTGTTTATACATTTAGAGAGAAAATTTACCAGTAATTGCTCATTATATTTTTTTAATGAATGAAACTTTGGCATAGCCTAGTAAAACAGCAATACTAATAATAATATTGTTTTTTATTACATTGAAAAATTAATAACACTTTTTTCAAGTATTTCTCTGTTGGAAAGTATGGGTGCATTATTTATCCATTTTTTCTACAGTATGTGACTATAGGTCAGGATCATGACACACCCTCAGGTCATAAGCAATCTTTGTGTGAAGTGGATACTCCCAACATCCAAATTATCCTCCATAGGAAAGATACAGACCGAACACGAATTATGAACTTTTTCTGTCAGTGACCTTGAACTTGTCCAAATGACCTTGGGTCAGGTCATGACACACCTTCAGGTCATAAGCAATCTTTGTGTAAACACGAATTATGATTTTTTTCTGTCAGTGACCTTGAACTTGCCCAAATGACCTTGGGTCAAGGTGATGACACACCCGCAGGCCATAAGAAATATTAATATAACATATGGTTTTGTTGTTCTTGAGCAGAGATTTTTTAAAGATTTTTCTCTACATATGCCTTTGTAAAAACTTGATCCCCAGTTGTGGCCTCTCCCTACCCCAGGGTTCATGATTTGAACAAAATTGAATCTACACTACCTGATGATGCTTTCATATAAACATGACTAATCATGGCTTTTCTGTTCTTGAGAAGAAGATTTTTTTTCCTATATATTCTATGTAAAACTTTGATCTCCCATTATGGTCCAATCCTACCCCCAGAGGATCATGATTTAAACAAACTTGAATCTACACAGCCTGAGGATGCTTCCATTTCAAAATGACTATTCATGGCTTTGCTATTCTTGAGAAGAAGAATTTTAAAGTTTTTTTTTCTATGTATTCCTATGTATAAATATTGATCCCCCATTGTGGCCCCTCCCTACCCCTGGGGGGTCATGATTTGAACAAACTTGAATCTACACTACTTGATGATACTTCCTTATCAATATGACTAAACAAGGCTTTGCTGTTCTTGAGAAGAAGATTTTTTAAAAATTTTTCTTATATATTCCTATGTAAAACTTTGATCCCCCATTGTGGCCCCAACCTATCCCTGGGGCTCGTGATTTAAACAAATTTGAATTTACACTTTGACATACAAGGTTTCCTATAAGTTTCAACTTTTTTGGCCCAGTGGTTCTTGAGAAGAAGATTTTTAAAACATCCCACTAAATTTTCACTATTTCTTAATTATCTCCCTTTTATTGAGGGTGTGGCCCTTTATTTGAACAAACTTGAATCCCCTTTACCCAAGGATGGTTTGTGGCAAGTTTGGTTCAAATAGGCCAGTGGTTCTGGAGAAGAAGTCGAAAATGTGAAAGTTTACAGACAGACGGACAGCTAGACAGACTACAGACAAAATGTGATCAGCAAAAGCTCACTTGAGCTTTCAGCTCAGGTGAGCTAAAAACAGATAGCAATAGGTCATGACTGACTCAGGTTATCTAATTAGTTATAACATTTTTTTGTGATTACATGTAAGTCAGCTCAGGTGCAAAATATTGCTTATCACTGATATAAATACAACAGTAAAATTTTAGACATAACCATATGTCTGACAATTAAATTCTATATAATAATAGAACTTACCCTCAGCATAAATCTTTCATAGCTTGGCATGGACCTATATGTTTTTGTGTCTGTTCGAAGTGTATACTTTTTGTCCTTGGGGAAAAAAGAAAATATATGTTTAAAAAAATTGCATTTCAGACTTGTAAAGCAAAACAAACAATATGAAAAATTACTTATTTTACTGATAACATTTAACATTTTCTCCTCTTGTGATTGAAATGTAATGCACATCATTACATGATATTATATGTATTAAATTGCAAGTCTAAAAGCAATGGGATCAGAAAATTTGATTTCTTTTTTAAGAGTATTACCATAATGCTGGTTAAACTTTCAGAATCTGTTTTTGAAGTCCAGACTTGGCATTTAGGTGTTTACATAGGAGATGAGCTTCAGCCACCATCCTGGAGTGTACATTTAAAATCACATAAAAAAATCACAATCTCAAAATACATTATTTATACATGTACTCATAAGGACTGTATGAAAAAGACATCTGAAAAAAAAGTGTTACACCCTTATTGCCCTAAAAGATAATTTATATTTCCTCTACATGTTTTGTAAAGAAATACATTGGGTGGGTGGAACTTTTTCAATCAAGTGGTTTATTGCATCTTATTGGTAGGCTAAAAAAATCTTACAATAAATATTTTTTATAACAGTATGTTTTATACCTCACCTTAATTTTGATATAATGTGCCAGTGTTGATTCACACCTGGGCTGGGGTGCTGACCAAGACAGTTGACTGCGTCAATATTTTCTTACTTATTTGGTAAACTAAGTTTACATTATGTTATACACTAAAATAAAAGGAACACACCCGTTAGTTTACATGCAACACAGTCTGAAATATAAAGTAAATAAATAACTGTAGATGTTCTGTATATTCCTCACCGTTACTCCTATCCTAACTCCAGACACTGTCTTGCAGACGTCAGACTTCTTACCAGTGACGTCACCCGTTAACGTAAATAATAATCGGAGGTGAAAATTCCGGAACGTACATTTTACATATTTAGTGTTATACGGACGCTACCAACTGTATAATTATGTAATACCTATTTAGGTGAATTCCATTTGAGTTCTGTTGTGAAATTATCGTGATTTTCTTTTTTTTTCAAATTCAGCTTTTGCTCCTGAATTCGGAATGTTTATATCTACCGATGATCGAGTTCAATTTTATGTGCCTCTACCGATATCCGATATACATATTACGAGATTGGTGTACTTGTATGTAGACTATGTTTTACTGCTCTAAGAGTAAATTATACACCAATGCGAACTGATTACTCCATGTCAGACATGCAAGTGGACGTAAGGTAAACAATGTGAAATAAATTGGAACATTAAAGACGCAAAACACGCACAAGTCAACAATGCACACACCTGTGAGCTTTCAGAGGTGATTGGGTTTTAATCATCATTATCATAGATCATGATATGATATTATTTTTTTGAAAAAAAAAATAGTTAAATCTTTAAAATATATTACAGTATAATGATTAAAATCCACGCAACTTATGATCTAGGGTCCCGTTTTAAGAGGGATTTTATACTTGGACCAAGTTGGTCGCAATACTCTGTTTCATGAATTACAGGTTATTGATCAGGTCCGGCACAATCTCCTGATTAAGCTATATAGCTTGATTTAGCTATATAGCTTTATTAAGCTATTCAGAATAGCTTGATTTAGCTATTTTATCACACTGTTTTCTCAAATGTGTTATTTTCCAAGTATGTACAAAAAGTCGCACCTTGGTGCAGTGATGATATTCAACCTTGAACTCTTATGAAAATAATGCATGTAAAAATCACTCATCAAATTGGGTCTCCTTAAGAGACTTTGTACTCAAAGTTCTATAAGTTTTGGGGGCTATATAAAGCAATTGATACAGTTACCTCTTCAATGAAATTATAAAGGAGGCCAATTATGGTCAACAAGATAATTGATTGGTAATAATTCAGTACAATGAGAAGCAATCATACTTATCCATGCCTCAACTCACACAAGGTAGTGTGCAGTTACCCAAACAATGGAAATTCATCTTTTGCTTAAAAGTATTCAAATGCTGCAATGTTAGAACTATCTATGATTTGGGTTGTTGATTTGATAACCCATATTACATATATGAATAGTCAAATACTTGCTACTTTTTGTCTATTTTGTACAAATAACATTTTTGTGAAAACCTGCATATAAATAGCTTTATCAAGCTATTTTGAATAGCTTAATAAAGCTATATAGCTATTTCAAGCTATAAAGCTTAATCAAGAGATTGTGCCAGACCAGTTGATTGTTAAACATTATCTTGATTAGTTCTCCAAATTCACTCTGAACTATTAAGTAAAAAAAAGTATTTGGTCTGAGGTGTACTTTTGTACAAAAAGTTCCTGTTACAGTATTTGAAAATGTCACCAATTTATGAATATTATATAGTCCCAGCAACAATAAAACTTTTAGGGATTTTTTTCACTTGTTGACAAAAATTAATAATTTTACTAATTAATTAAATGAATTAAAAAGGATTGAATTTAATTATAGTTGACCTACATTTATTGTACATGTATGTAAAAGTACCATTAATATAGGAAATATACAGCCTTCTCAAACACAGCCAGCTTTTCACACACATGTAAAAAAATTTTTATTAACCTACATGTAACATAGCTGATAACACTCATACTTGTCATTAATGTACATGTAATGTGTGGTTTTTAATACATGTAAATCATGCATATATTAACGTATGTGTAACGTGTGGTTGATAATAAATGTAAACCCTGTGTGTGAAATATGTGTAATGTGTGGTTTATAATACACATGTAAACCGTGCATTTATTAACGTATGTGTAACGTATGGTTGACAATACATATGTAAACCACGTGTTCATTAACGTATGTGTAACGTGTGGTTGACAATACACATGTAAACCATGCGTTTATAAACGTACGTGTAACGCGTGGTAGCACATACCATATGTGACACGTATGTGAAACGTACATAACACGTACGTGTATTCCAACCGCACGTTTCACGTACGTTATGTGAAACGTATGTTGTTACACGCATGTTATCCATACGTTATACCACGTACGTGTAACATACGGTTGGAATACACGTATGTGTTACGTATGTTTCACATACATGTAACATATGGTATGTGCTACCATACGTTACACGTACGTGGCACAATTAGCTGTGTATATCATAAACTAACATATTCTAGAAATATCTGTAAATTTCACTACCTTATTTTTCGTACAAATATTTCTTGCCACAGACCATTTCTTTTATTGTGTATATATGTAGATTTTTACCTAAGAAAATTGATACTCATGGATGAATTTGAAACAAAATCACAAATAAAAGTTGTTATGAGAAATAATTGGTTTATAGTCTTACCTGTATAATCATTTATTTACTATGAATCTTGTCACACAGTGGTGTATTCATGGCATCCCTTAAGATGGCTGCCTTCTATGGACTCTACACATGGTTGACACACACACTATTTGGTATCAACATGGTGTTTATCCCATCCAGTAAGTTATTGTCTATCAAGTATACTGTAGATGCACAAAATTTTGTGGGGATAGAATTTCGTTTTGTCATCTGAGAAGGTTTCATGGCCATTAAATTTCATTGTTTCAAAAGAAACCCTATTCTAAATATACTAATATAGTCATATAAAAATTTTGTCTAGAATTTAATTTCGTTGATAATTGTTAACAAGGAAATAAATGAAATTACTGGTAAGTCTCCAAGGAATATTTCTGATTTTACAGTATATAACGTACATCTGTGCATATTTGTTTACTTGATAATTTGCTTAATATTTTTACATGCATAAATGTTCATGAATTTTATTTACAAAACAGATCAAGAATATAATTAAGGAATGTTTTTAAGTTCTGTGTGAGATATTGGTGTGTAAATCACACAGACTTGTCACGTAGGCATATTTCATGAAACGCGCTAGCGCTTCATGAAAAATATGCCTATGTGCAAGTCTGTGTGATTTACACACCAATAATTCACACTAAACTTAAAAACATTCCTTATATTTACATTTTACATGTTCAAAAGCACAAAAAATATACTCAGTATTTGAATTATTTGCTGCCCTATATCGTGACATTTTTATTAACATCTCTGTAGCTCATTGTGACGTCACTTTAGCGCAGGTTTCTCCGTGCATATTTCTACGCGTGAGTATACAGGAAAATGACATGAAAATACATGAAAAAACATGGCAAGTGTAAATATTTTAGTGTAAATATTAAATTGTTCAAAAATAGAATGCACATTATTTAAGAAATAGTTCCCACATTGGAGGCATTGAAGGAGAATATTCCCTGATAGTCAAAAGATTAGATGGGGGGGGGAAACAATTAAAGGGATGATTTTTTTTTTTATTCTCAAGCAAAATCTCAAGACTGAGAGATATATTGGAGAATAATGGCCATAGCATTTTTTTTATCTTTGCAATAACCATAGTAGTATTAGTTTTGTAGAGATTTATAATCTTGATTTCTGTTTGTTCTATCTAGCCCTGGCAGCTGTGTTAGGGGCTGTCCCGTTTCTGGGTCCGTATTGGGCCACTCTTCCTGCCGTGTTAGAACTCTGGTTGATTCAAGGACAGGGAATTAAAGGACTGAGTCTTTTTATCTGCCATATCCTGCCATCATACTTTGTAGACACCAGTATTCTAGGAGAAATTAAAGGGTGCAGTATCTAAATTACATGATTTTAAGATTTTTTTTTCAGTATAATAATGTAATGAAGCCATTATTCTCAATCATTAGTGATATTTACATTTAATTCATACCTACATCTGGAAAGTGCAGTTTCAGTACCCAGTATAATAATATGTTGAATGAGAAATGTTGTCAAACCAGCAAACATGTTACTTAATTTTTGTTAAAATATCTATTTTCAGTGTTGTAATGACATTTATTCATATTGCACTCTTCCCGATGTACATGTATACTTTCCGTTTTAGTGGTCATCCCTATATGACTGGTCTGGCTATTGCAGGGGGTATTTACTGGTTAGGGTTAGAGGGAGCCATCATCGGTCCCATTCTCCTGTGCTGTTGTATTGTGGCTTACAATGTTTATGGCTCTATGTTGACACCAGGTGGTGCTGCATTTCCAGGAGGACTCCCAGGTAAGGAAGATAACTCTCTATAACCCTCATTTCACTGAAGTATTGACAAGACATACAAGTATCCACAAATGTCAATCATCACATTTTATTATTTGTATATTATACCTGAATTCAATTTTTTTTAAAACATAGATAGAATTTATTGTGTTTTACTTACATTATGTACTCTGTGGTAGATGGTGTTGTATTCTGTGTTTGTTGTGTGTTGTTTGTTAGGGGATAAAGTCACAGTTAGCCATTCAAGAACCACAGGAAGCCTAAACCGGTACCATATCTCAATATATGTATATCAGCTAGTGATATCAGCTGTCTATCCTATGCACATTTATCCTAAACTGTTACCATATCTCAATATAATAGTATTGGCTAATCATATTACAGGTAATCTTCGGTATCTCGACATCGGATATGTCGACAACCTGGGATATGTCGATGTCCGTCCGCGGTCCCGGCAGTATTTACTACATAAATGATTTGCAAAAACTCTGATATGTCGACCTCGGTAATCTCGACAACCCTGGTTACCTCGACGTATATTCACAGTCCCAATAGCAAAATTTACCTGGTATATGTCGACATCGGCAATTTTCTGCTCCACTGAACCTAACTGTTTGTCAGATAGGGTCGCTCGTCACGCACGGACGGCTCCGGGTATCTCGACGTCGTCAAAAATTCACACCTTTCACACCCATGTTTTGACTGCATGCTGCTTAATTAATTTTATAGACTGTGTTTGTAGGTGAATCCAAAGCCCCCTCGGCGTCTTTGAGACGTTAATTGCTTAATGTTCAGCTTAGGTAATATCACTGATAAATCTACACGATTCTGCTTAAATTTACAGGCGTTTATTTATGTTGAAACCTAACATAACTTTTAAAATTGAAAAATATAACTAAATTACAAAGAATAATAAACATATTGAATGAATTCAAACTAAAGAATTAAACGATGTTCTAATAATATTTTGTAGTTAAAATGCATTCAACAGGAAATAATCCGATTAACAACACGATTAACCGAATCATCCGTAATTCATGTATCTGCAATATCACTACGTTAGTTTAGATACACAAATCTCTTAAAAAATTAATATCAATGCACATTCTTCCTGAATGAAATAAGAAAAAAAAATTATTACGTATTTAATATGTTTTCGTATCTCGAATTTATCATGTTTATACGGTTCGGTTCGAAGTTTATAGAGCGCATTTCGTATCCTGTTCCGACAAAAAAGCATGCAAGTAACACGCGAATGCTGGATGGAAAACTACAAAAATTTAGAACGATTTCGATAAAGAGAAAGAACAGGTTTTATAAATAAGATTTTTAAAAATAACTTCTTAGATTTTTAATAAAAATAGAGGGATTGCTGAAATAAGTTGACCTAGAGTCTATATTGAAGTCATGTACGTATAATAAGCTTATACACATGTATGTGTTTGGTTATGCAGTGAAATCTTGGACGTCAAGTCTCAACTCTGATATCTCGACACCTCGGATATCTCGACATTTTCCGATGGTCCCGTCGATGTCGAGATAACGAAGTTTACCTGTATATCAGCTCTCGATCTCACACACATTAATCCTAAACTTTTACCATATCTCAATATAACAGTATTGGCTAATGATATTATATCAGCTCTCTATCTCATACACATTAATCCTAAACTTTTACCATATCTCAATATAACAGTATTGGCTAATGATATTATATCAGCTCTCTATCTCACACACATTAATCCTAAACTGTTACCGTATCTCAATATAAGAGTATTGGCTAATGATATTGTATCAGCTCTCTATCTCACACACATTGATCCTAAACCAGTACCATCTCAATATAACAGTATTGGCTAGTGATATTGTATCAGCTCTCTATCTCGCACACATTAATCCTAAACCAGTACCATCTCAATATAAAAGTATTGGCTAATGATATTGTATCAGCTCTCTATCTGGCACACATTAATCCTAAACCATTACCATCTCAATGTAACAGTATTGGCCAATGATATTGTATCAGCTCTCTATCTTGCACACATTAATCCTAAACCAGTACCATCTCAATATAACAGTATTGGCTAATGATATTGTATCAGCTCCCTATCTCGCACACATTAATCCTAAACCAGTACCATCTCAATATTACAGTATTGGCTAATGATATTGTATCAGCTGTCTATCTCGCACACATTAATTCTAAACCATTACCATCTCAATATTAGAGTATTGGCCAATGATATTGTATCAGCTCTCTATCTTGCACACTTTAATCTTAAACCAACACCATCTCAATATAACAGTATTGGCTAATGATATTGTATCAGCTCTCTATCTTGCACACTTTAATCTTAAACCAACACCATCTCAATATAACAGTATTGGCTAATGATATTGTATCAGCCCTCTATCTCGCACACATTAATCCTAAACCATTACCATCTCAATATAAGAGTATTGGCTAATGATATTTTATCAGCTCTCTATCTCACACACATTGATCCTAAACCAGTACCATCTCAATATAACAGTATTGGCTAGTGATATTGTATCAGCTCTCTATCTCGCACACATTAATCCTAAACCAGTACCATCTCAATATAAAAGTATTGGCTAATGATATTGTATCAGCTCTCTATCTGGCACACATTAATCCTAAACCATTACCATCTCAATATAACAGTATTGGCCAATGATATTGTATCAGCTCTCTATCTTGCACACATTAATCCTAAACCAGTACCATCTCAATATAACAGTATTGGCTAATGATATTGTATCAGCTCCCTATCTCGCACACATTAATCCTAAACCAGTACCATCTCAATATTACAGTATTGGCGAATGATATTGTATCAGCTGTCTATCTCGCACACATTAATTCTAAACCAGTACCATCTCAATATAACAGATTGGCTAATGATATTGTATCAGCTCTCTGTCTTGCACACATTAATCTTAAACCAACACCATCTCAATATAACAGATTGGCTAATGATATTGTATCAGCTCTCTATCTTGCACACGTTAATCTTAAACCAACACCATCTCAATATAACAGTATTGGCTAATGATATTATATCAGCTGTCTATCTCGCACACATTAATCCTAAACCATTACCATCTCAATATAACAGTATTGGCTAATGATATTGTATCAGCTCTCTATCTCAAAAACATTAATCCTAAACCAGTACCATCTCAATATAACAGTATTGGCTAATGATATTGTATCAGCTGTCTATCTCAAAAACATTAATCCTAAACCATTACCATCTCAATATAATAGTATTGGCTAATGATATTGTATCAGCTCTCTATCTCACACACATTAATCCTAAACCAGTACCATCTTAATATAACAGTATTGGCAACTGATATTGTATCAGCTCTCTATCTTGCACATGTTAATCTTAAACCAACACCATCTCAATATAACAGTATTGGCTAATGATATTATATCAGCTCTCTATCTCGCACACATTAATCCTAAACCATTACCATCTCAATATAACAGTATTGGCTAATGATATTGTATCAGCTCTCTATCTCAAAAACATTAATCCTAAACCATTACCATCTCAATATAATAGTATTGGCTAGTGATATTGTATCAGCTCTCTATCTCACACACATTAATCCTAAACCAGTACCATCTTAATATAACAGTATTGGCTAATGATATTGTATCAGCTCTCTATCTCACACACATTAATCCTAAACCATTACCATCTCAATATAACAGTATTGGCTAATGATATTGTATCAGCTCTCTATCTCACACATATTAATCCTAAACCAGTACCATCTCAATATAACAGTATTGGCTAATGATATTATATCAGCTCTCTATCTCACACACATTAATCCTAAACCAGCACCATCTCAATATAACAGTATTGGCAACTGATATTGTATCAGCTCTCTATCTCGCTCAGATTAATCCTAAACCAATACCATCTTAATTTAACAGTATTGACTAATGATATTATATCAGCTCTCTATCTCACACACATTAATCCTAAACCAGTACCATCTCAATATAACAGTATTGGCTAGTGATATTGTATCAGCTCTCCATCTCGCACGCATTAATCCTAAAGTGCTACCATATCTTAATATAACAGTATTTTATCAGCTGTCTATCTCGCACACATTTATCCTAAACCAGCACCATCTCAATATAATAGTATTGGCTAATGATTTTGTATCAGCTCTCCATCTCACACACATTAATCCTAAACTGCTACCATATCTTAATATAACAGTATTATATCAGCTGTCTATCTCGCACACATTTATCCTAACCAGTACTATCTCAATATATATTGGCTATCTCATGCACATTTATATCCACTTTATTCACTCCTTTTGCTGAATGTCCTTGCACTACACTTCTAGCACACACTTTTATTTCATTTGTTAATTTAGATATTCATATACTGTTTTGAAATTTTCTTTGAAAAATGCATGTGAAAATGTAAAGAGTTGTATGAATTCATAATATGATTTATTCACAATGAAAATCTGATATGAGATAAAAAAAAAAATATATATATATATCAATACTGGAGCATTCTTGTAATATGTATACACTCAAATATACCCAGAGAAAACTTAATTTTAATTTACCAGTAAAAAAGTACTGAAATTACTATTTTCTATAAAAAGTCTATGATGGCTGTGATAAGATTTATTTTGTTAGCTGAATCTACTGTGAATTTGTCATGGACACCACTACAGTGAGGGTGATATTGTTGAAAATAATTCCAGCTTTTTCTTAAAAATTATTAAAATTGGTCAATATTTTTGTCTCTTTCTTTTGATTCTTTGCATTTAAATGCATGCATACTCAAGTAAGAATCAAACCTATTTATCTGGAAACCTGCAATATCAGTGGTGTTTATTAGATTTTCATATTTATAAACTTAGCTCAGTATATGTAATAAATAATGCTTAATCTCTCTTATGTAACTAGTTTCCATATACATGTACATACCTAATCTTCCATAATCAGATCATCAGTGCTGAAAGCTCAAACTCTCTTCTCTGATCAAAGTTTGTACATGTATTGTATTCGTTGATATTTTTAAAATCTACATTAACAATTCTGACTACTCCAGATTCATTGTGGTATTTATTATAAACCTAAGGCACAACACATTTTTGCTCTAATGAAGGGAAATGAATCCCCTTCAAAAAAGGAATGTTTTTAAACTGTTACCGTGAATATGAAGAAATGGAGAAAACATTTCAATTTAAAATTGTTTTGAGAACAATCAGGCCTCTAAGTGACCATTAAAATTTAGGTGCCAGCTTGCTCCTAATAAAAAAAAATTTAGTCGCCAATGCAAATTTTTAGTCGCCAGACAAAATTATCTTAGGCACCAATGTAGATATGCAGACCGATTTGGTTAGTCAAAACAAAGAAGGTGACAAGGAAAACACAAGATGTGTTCCATTGCCAACTTTAAAACTTCTTTTTTCCTCTTTGGGAAAAAAAAATGTTGAAAATATTTATAGTTTCAGAATTTGATGATTACCAAGTCAATTTAAAATGGTTGCCAATTTGGCGACTTATAGCGAAATTTTACGCGCCAATCAAAATTTTCAGGCACCATGGCGACTAAATTAGTCGCCATTAAGAACCTAAGCACAGAATGAGATAAAAGTCTAATGATAATACACTGTACATTGTAACTGATTTTTAAAAAATCAGTTCATTACAGTCAAACCTCTTTATCTCGAACTCATTGAGACCGAGAAAAAACTTCGTGATATCCGAATATTCAAGATATCAAGGGTTAATCACTTAAAGAATAAGTGGTTTGGACTTCCAAATTCAATTTGACATATCTAAGGTATTTGAGATATCAGTGTTCGAGATACCAAAGTTAAACTGTATATGAATTTGCTCTGTAACGGGCGGGGAAAAATGTCGGCCAGGCTGGGACTCGAACCCAGGACCTCCCACTAACCATGCGGGTGCTCTAACCACTGAGCTACAGGGCCGACGTACCCAGTCCCCGTTACAGCTCAATAAGGCCTCCAAGATCAAGTTAGCATTGGTAGTTCACATTAAACATGAAATTATTGACAATGTCTCAGAAATGTAGAAAAAAAAATCAATAGTCTACAATTTTCAGAATATTTCATAATCCACAGGTGGGATAGACTTGATAGGTAGTCTATCAGAGTAATGTTTATATTTAGTAACTTTACTTACATCTGTTTACACTTAAACTATGTTTTCTTAAACTCAATTTGACAGAGCTCGATGGGACTGAGAAAAAGCAAAATATCCAATGATTTGAGATGTTTAGGTTAAAACATATAAAAGAAAAAAGGTTGGGACTTCCAAGTCACTTCAACATATTCTTGGTATTTGATCAATATTTGAGACACAAAAGATCAACTGTACTCTTTAAATGTCTGACAGCTATATGATGTATTGTTTTTAACTATACTGTTCCAGCATTATCTGTGTTCTCCATACTTTTACAGATCTGTGAGTGAACACTTTTCTTCCTTGCCAAGTGATGTGACATAATGATGCTTGGGTATTCAGGACTAAAAGTTAGTTCACAGATGCCTTTTGTGCCATTTTAAAAGTTGGAGAATAGACAGCTGGATAGATCTCCTATCAAACAACAACCTGTTAAGGACATTGTCATCAGATGTCATTTTCCCTGATTTGGTCAGCCCCACCTCTTAAAAGTTTTGCCAAAAAAGTGTTCGCACTTATTGACAGAAAATTTATTTTTAATGTTTTTCTTAAAATGGGTAATTTTCAAGTCTTCATGAGGAATAAGTTTTTATTCAGTCCTTTTAATGATTGATTTAGATTGGTGATGTACCTAAGTCTTCACAATGACTCTTGCCTATAGTGTATGCATCATTTTTAGCTCACCTCAACGAAGTTGGGGGAGCTTATGTAATACCCTCGGCGTCCCAGGTTAAGGTTTTTGGAGCAGTTTTCTTTTCAAGTACTTCTATGGCCTATATTAGTCAGAGATGCATGGAGGATGCTTCTAGTGTGTTTCATTGTACCAGTCAAGGTTTCAGATGCTACAATTTCAGCTAAAGAATGACCAGGTTAATGTTTTTGGAGCAGGTTAAAGTTTTTGGAGCAGGTTAAAGTTTTTGGAGCAGGTCTCATTTCCAATTAACTATAAGCCCTATATTGACTGAACTTGCATGGATGATACATCTAAGGATGCACACTACTGAACTTGCTTCGGATGCTGGATCTGACCTACATTTTCCGGATGAGTGACTAGCCTAAGGTTTTTGGAGTAGATCTCATTTCCAAGTAACTATAAGCCCTATATTGACCAAACTTGCATGGATGATACATCTAAGGATGCACACTACTGGACTTGCTTCGGATGCTAGATCTGACCTATATTTTCCGGATGAGTGACCAGGTTAAGGTTTTTGGAGCAGATCTCATTTCCAAGTAACTAAAAGCCCTATATTGACCAAACTTGCATGGATGATACATATAAGGATGTACACTAGTGGACTTGTTTCGGATGCTGGATCTGACCTATATTTTCTGGATGAGTGACCAGGTTAAAGTTTTTGAAGCAGATGTCATATCCAAGTAACTATAAACCCTATATTGACCAAACTTGCATGGATGATACATCTAAGGATTCACACTAGTGGACTTGCTTCAGATGCTGGATCTGACCTACATTTTCCGGATGAGTGACCAGATTAAAGTTTTTGGAGCAGATCTCATCTCCAAGTAACTATAAGGCCTATCTGAACCAAACTTGCACGGATGATGCATCAAGGGATGAACAATCTCAAAACTTGCTTCGGATGCTGGATTTGACTTACATTTTCTGAATGAGTGACTAGTTTTAAGTTTTCGATAAGTCTATTCCCAAGTAACTGCAAGCCCTATTAGACCAAAATTGCATAAATGTTGCATCTAGGGATGCACACTCCTAGATTATTAGTTTAGTGTGGGACTTTGCCTTACTTAAAGACAACATTCGTTGAGGTGAGCTTTGTAATCTCTGATTACCTATGTTTTTTTTTTTTTTATCAGATCAACCTAAAAATTGCATTCTGATGTAATTTTCTCAAATTTTGGTTGCCCATCCTTTTAAGTTTTGCCAAAAAGTGTTCGCACTTAATGACACACAATTTATATTTTTCTATCATATTTTTAGGTCACCTGAGTTTACTCAGGTGAGCTATTGCTATCTGTTTTCGTCCGTCGTCGTGCGTCGTCCGTCGTGCGTTAACATTTGAACATTTTCAGCTTCTTCTCTGGAACCACTGAACCAATTTCAACCAAATTTGGCACATAGCATCTAGATGTGAAGGGGAGTAAAAATTGTGAAATTCATGACCCCTACCCCCCTGGGGCCTGAGGGGTGGGGCTAAAACCATCAGAATTAATGCAATCTTTAAAAATCTTCTTCTTTACTCCTGGGCATCAAGCAGGCAAACTGTTGGCATGAATGTAATAAGCATTGAGACCTCTACCTAAATTGTGAAATTTATGGCCCCAGGGTCAGGGGTTCTGGTGCTAGGGTGGGGCTCTGTTGAATATGTAGTGAAAAGCATTATTCTTAAAAAATCTTCTCCTCTGCTCTTTAGTATTTAGAAAACAAACAATATGCATAGTTATGATGAGGAAAGGTGTCTCTTCTATAATTGTGAATTTCATGGCCCCTGGGTCAGGGGTTCTGGTGTTAGGGCGGGTATCTAATGATTATATAGTGAAAATGCATTAATTATTCAAAAATCTTCTCCTCTGCTCCTGGGTATTAAGCCGATGAACTAAGTACATAGTTATGATGAGAAAGAGTGCCTCTTCCAAAATTGTGAATTTCATGGCCCAGGGGTCAGGGGTTCTGGTGTTAGGGTGGGGCTCTGTTGAATATATAGTGATAATGCATTATTTCTTTAAAAAGCTTCTTCTGTGCTTTTGGATATTATGAAAACAAAATAAATAAATAGTTATGATGATGAAAGGTGCCTCTTCCAAAATTGTGAATTTCATGGCCCCAGGGTCAGAGGTTCTGGTGTTAGGGCAGCGTTCTGTTGAATATACATGTATAGTGAAAATGCATTATTTCTTTTAAAAATCTTCTCTGATCCAGGGCAAACAAACTGAAGGCATAGTTATGATGAATAAGGGTGCCTATTCCTATCTTGTGAATTTCATGCCCCCCTGGTCAGGGGTTCTGGTTTTAGGGTGGGGCTCTAATGATTACATAGTAAAAATGCAATAATTCTTTGACAATCTTCTCCTTTTCTCCTGGGTAATAATCCAATGAACTACGAGTATAGTTATGATATGTAAGGGTGCCTGTTCCAAAATTGTGAAATTCATGGCCCCTAGGTCAGGGGTTCTGGTGTTAGGGTGGGGCTCTGTTGAATATATAGTGATAATGCATTATTTCTTTAAAAATCTTTTTCTTTGATCCTGGGTATTTAACAAACAAACTGATGCATAGTTATGATGAGTAAAGGTGCCTCTTCCAAAATTATGAATTTCATGGCCCCTGGATCAGGGGTTCTTGTGTTAGGGTGGGGCTCTAATGATTACATAGTAAAAATGCAATAATTCTTTGAAAATCTTCTTCTTTTCTCCTGGGTATTAAGCTGATGAACTAAGAGTATTGTTATGATATGTAAGGATGCCTCTTCCAAAATTGTGAATTTTATGGCCCATGCATCATGGTTCTGGTGTTAGGGCAGAGCTCTAATGATTACATAGTGAAAATGCATTAATTCTTTGATAATCCTCTGCTCTCTTTCTGGGTATTAAGTAAGCTTACTAAATGTAAAATTATGATGAGCAAGTGTGCCTCTTTCAAAATTGTGAATTTCATGGCCTCTGGTTTAAAACATGAATCCATTGTGGCGAAGTTATTGCATGATACTCAGGTGACCTATAAGGCCCGTGGGCCTCTTGTTAATGTATTAATCTGGGTAATTTATTCAAGTCTTTACAATTATTATTTTTTTCAACAGTGTGTGCAATATTATTTTTTTAATCGGCTTAAGAGGAAATCATTAACAACAATGCTGTGGAAATTTGATGCTTTGTAATTAAGGAAATCCTCTTATCCATAGACCTATAATGAGTAAGAAATCATTATATATCTGTAAATGTACACGTCTCCTATCTTTATTTATTATTCTAGTCATTATCCTTTTCTGTCCACGTAATATTCCTAATTAATCTGATGAAGACTCTAATATTTAGAGGAGGTGATTACTTTGAAGATGTTATTAAGATGGGATAAAGCTAAGTACACAGGTACTCACAGGGTCTACATGTTTGTACAGTGGATTGTTTCATCAGTGGAAAGTCAAACTTTCTGTGAATTTTTTTTTTTTAATTTTATTTATATTATTTATTTTTGTTACTGTTTAAATACATGCTGTTATACATTTTATGTGTTTGCTTTTAAATCGTTCAGTTCATTAAACAAATAAATTTTTATCCTCTTTGTTATATTTACTTGGTGTTCAGGACCAAAAAAACAAACTGTCCATTGCTTCTCCACTTTGAAGTATTGAAATGCAGTAAGCTAATCCATAAGAAAACTGATAATTCATGAATGTCTTAAGAAATTAAAAAAATTAAATAAAGTGAATTAATTTAATTCACATACAGAATTCCGAGTTGAATGAAAGATTGTAAAATTCATGTCCCTTACTTGCACGATGCATGCGCAAGGGTGAGGCTATGTTGATTATACCTTTGAAAAATTTTATTCATAGATATCTAGTAGACAAACTGTTCACATGATTTCAATGATCTTTGAAATGTGTCCCCTTGGTTCAGGATTTAGGCTAAAGCTTAATTTATTTTTGAAGTGCTTTATTTCCCCTTATCTCTTAGAATTTCTAGTCAGCATTAACTGTGGAATTAATATCTTCTGGGATAAGGACCCAAGCTGGGGCTAAGTTGGACACATTAGAAATTAATTACAGCTATGAAAATCTTCATTCATTGATTTTTGACTAACATTTCCCTTTGACTACGCTATGGGCCCTCTACCAAAATGTTAATTTTGTGTCTCCACGGCTCAGACCCCACTGCATGGCTATGTTTGCAAACCATCCTAAAAATAATTATTCTTGAGCATTTTTTGGAGAAAAAATCATGCGATTGCTAAGTGAACAGAAAGTCCTCAAACAAATAGTAATATTAATATCATATTTGGATAAAGTTCCAGTTTAGACTGGGATGGCCTGAGAAATTAAGACGACTAACCATCAAGGCCAAAGGGCCTGAGAAATTAAGAATACTTGACTAACCATCGAGGCCAAAGGGCCCCCTGTTAATTTAACTGCATGAAATTTCCAATACTTTGTGACGTTATCAAAAAAAAACAAGAAAATACAAATTAACATATATTATATTTTGAAAATCTCTATAATTTAAATAACAATTATTGTGATACATGTAGTAGTTGAATATGCCACAATCTGCAACACATATATTACAAACAAGAAGATGCACACTGTATGAACATAACTTAGAAGTCAATTATATCACAGTCGCTTTTTACATAATGTATGTACATCAATTAAATTTTGATCAAATCAGCTCAAAATTGCCATTTGCCATTGCCATATATAATTAGCATATTTTAATTTACTGTATTTCTGCACAGCCCATAAATGTGTGATAAATGAAACATAGACAAGTGTGAGACAATCACATAATGCTGATAAGTACAAAGTAAGAATTGTGGGATTCTGTTATGGAATTTTGGCACTATTCACAGTTTAATTTTCATCTATCTGGGGCTTATAATCACTCTCACTCAAATACAAGCCTGAAAAGACAGAAGAGTGAAACATTCAAAACTTGTCACAAACCAGTGCATTGAGCTAAAGTGTGAAAATGTGAAGATAAGTATGTGCAATATTTTCTCCCTGATTGTTTAAAATTATGTAAAATGTAAAAACAAGAATATGTGTGAGAAACTGAAAAGATCTTTAAACAACTTTTTTGTTTTGTTTTTTGTGTGTGAGTGTGTCTTTGGTATATTTTTTTGAATTCATTTTGAAAAGGGAAAATGTCTGTTCACTAGCTCTTCTCTAGTTAAAGGCTTCTGATCCATTCTACTCCTCGCAAAAGAAATGTGAGAAGTGTATCACACAGATGCTAGTGAAGACAATTCCATGCTTACAACCTCATAACTAAAGGTTTTTGTAATAGCATGCAAATTTTCTAGATTGTTAAGACATCAATGTTCTGATATTTTATTTTACAATGCCCTGAATGTGGGGTTTCTTTTGATTTATATACATGTATTACAAGATGTGTTTGTGAAACACTGATGCCCCCATATGGCAGCTTATGGTGAAGGTTAAAGTTTCTCAAATGCAAGTCAAAATCCAGGCCAAAAGATAAAAAATGTTTGTACCCAAAGAAAGGTCATGTCTCAAGGAATATACCTGTGAAATTTGAAAGCCCTAGCTGCAACTGTTCAAAAGTTATGGCGAAGGTTAAAGTTTTTTAAAAGTAAGTAAAATGTCAAGGTCAAGGTCAAAGTGGTTGGTATCCAAAGGAAGGTCTTGTCACAAGGATTACATATGTGAAGTATGAAAGCCCTAGCATTAACCATTTAAAAGTTATGACCAAGGTTTAAGTTTTTCAAAAGTAGGTCAAACTCCTATGTCAAGGTCAAAGGGTCAAAGTGGTTGGTATCCAAAAGAAAGGCGATGTCACAAGGATTACATATGTGAAGTATGAAAGCCCTAGCTCCAACCGTTCAAAAGTTATGGCCAAGGTTAAAGTTTTTCAAAAGTAGGTCGAACTCCTAGGTCAAGGTCAAAGGGTCAAAGAGGTTCATATCCAGAGAAAGGTCTTGTCACAAGGAATACACATGTGAAGTTTGAAACCCCAAGCACCAACTGTTCAAAAGTTATGGCCAAGGATAAAGTTTTTCAAAAGTAGGTCAAACTCCAAGGTCAAGGTCAAAAGGTCAAAGTTGTTGGTATCCAAAGAAAGGCCTTGTCACAAAGAATACACATGTGAAGTTTGAAACCCCAAGCACCAACTGTTCAGAAGTTATGGCCAAGGTTAAATTCTCATAAAATTTTGCAAAAGTGGGTCAAACTCCAAGGTCAAGGTCAAAAGGTCAAATATGATGGTACCCAAAGAAAGGTCTTATCACAAGGAATACACATCTGAAATATGAAAGTCATAGCTCCAACCAATCAAAAGTTATGGGCAAGGTTAAAGTTGACAACAGACAGACAAACAGACAGACAGGACAAAAACAATATACCCCCAGGATCTTTCGATCCGGGGGCATAAAAATTGGTCTGCTTGTACTTAAGCTTCATAAAATATTAAAATTGTTTGCAAACATTACACAGACAATATAAAATGTAAAGTTTCAAAGCTAATAAAAAAAATGCCTAGAATATTGAACACTATGAATTGTAGACCAAACAGTATATATCACCTTATCTAAGGATTCAACGACAATTAGAATACATGGACAATCATAAACCCATGCATCAAGAAATAGAATGCTTTGAATCAAATTTAGCTGATACCTGTTTGTAACACTGAAATTACATCAACCAAATTTTTATGGATATGTACAATATGAAATAAAAATGCATGAGAAATAAACTGTTTTTAAATGAAAGTAAAATCAATATGTTGACTATTCATTAACTTAAGTATAATATCGGTAGTCTGTATCATCATCATTCTTTGGTAGTATGGTATAAACTTGTTGATACAAACGTTTATAGGACCGGGAGAAGTAGAACACATAGAATCCCCATTTCCATGTCATAAAGCACCAAACACAGGTCAGATAGTAGCCAGGACCCTCAATAATTAACCCTGAAATGTAAAATGGTACACAACAATAATCAAAAGTGCACTAAAGTCAAATAGTAAACAACAATAATTAAGAGTACACTAGGTCACAAAAGACGACATATTATGATAAGACATATCTTGTTCCTTCCTATTATGATTCTATTTGTTTAATTTTGCATACATGTTTTTTCCTACATAGTTTGACAAATCTATAAAGTTTATTAATAAAATCAAGTGTTTACATGTATGTGGAACACATGAAAGCTGTCGTGAGATTAATATCTGAACAGCAAAAAGAATGGTAGTCCAGCTGAAGGAATTTTGTCGTACCCTGTTTATTTACAATTGCTAGAGTAAGGTATGTCACAAATCCGCACACTCCCGCCAGCTGTATGAAACAACCACTCAGCATCCATTTCTTCAGTGGATAAGGATTTGTCTCCCAGTAACGTTTTATGTATGCTATGTGTATAAATAATGACAACCCTGCTGCTATTCCTGGAAAGAAACAAAACAATACTCTTTTTACAATTTTGCTTTAATATATGTTAGTTATGTTTTTACTGCAATTACAAAAACTTGGCTTATAATATTTCTGATAAGTTTTTTGGTCAAATTTATCATGAGAAGTAAATGTATTGAAGGAAGCATCTAAAAAATCAGTAAAATCATTCATGAATGGAGGCAGTATCTGATACAGAGAAAAATCAGAGGTAATAAATTGTGACAGTAGTGGAGGGACAAAACTTTGTTAAGGAAGAGGAGACAAAAGAAAGTGAACAGGAGAGGAATGGGGGGGAACAGTCAGTACTACCAGGAATGTATATGAACTTCTTATTAATTTCATGTAGGTCTCTGGTACTGTGCATACTGATACCGTGGAAATGTTAATTTGGGAAGGTTAATTTTCACAATTGGAAATATTTTTACAAAATCAAACCCAAGCAAAATTGTCTTTACAAATCAGACATGTAAATAATCAATCTATTCTTCTCAATTTTGCAAAATAATCCAAACTGGATGCAGATGATTGGCCAGGAACCAAATAAGGTCCCAGGTCAAACTCGAAGGTCTCTGGTTTGGAAGGCATACTTACCATGATGAAAAAAAAAATACATTTATTTTACAAAGGAGTTTGACAGGGTAAGATATTGGTCCTAAAGGATTGACTGAGGAACAGTGCCAGCAAGAATAGAATGGATATGGAAGTCAGGTGGTAGGCAATAGTAGGATACAGGTGACAATGACAGGAGAATAGCAGGGGAGACAGGCACCTACGCCAGAGTTGGAAACGTTAAATACAGTGTCCATGTAAGAAAGAGGGGAGGGACATAAAATAGGACATCTGGGAAAGCAAAGAAACAGTGACCTCAATGACAATCACTGACAATAGAGAGAAGAGTGCATACAAAAATGTGTAGAGAAGTAGGGACAAATAAGTTAATCTCATTAAGAGAGTTATGTAATATATACTAAGCGTGATGTCAGTGATGTTTAGAAATTTACTGACAGATTCTAGATGTGGGGTCAACATATGGAACATTCTTGACAATGACATACCTGACAAAAGTCCCCACAAAGCCACGTTCCAGTTGTGAAAATTGACTCCAAAAACAAATAAAACGGACACACCCACTAACAATCCAATGACTGCAAAGGTTATCCGTGCCTTCATCCAACAGGGGGAGGGTGGCCTAGGTGGATTCATTCTCGATTTTCCTCGTGGACTATTTACCTTACGCAATAATATTTTTCAATATTAGGGATTCCGATCCCGATCAGAGTTAATGTTAAATCAAATCCTATAAAAATTCTAGTCGTTCGTATATTTATTTATCCTCCCTTTTCCAATAAGGATATAATAGTACATTCAATTATTTTTACTTCGTACATTTACCAGTAACATTCATAGCATGGTGTTATTTAGAAAAGGAAAAAAAAGATTTGATGCCCCCTAATGACAGCTCAAGGCCAAGATTAATTTTTTTCATATGAAGGTTACAATCTAAGGTCAAGGTCAAGAGTTAAAAAATATTGATACCCAAAGAAAGGTCTTGTCACAAAGCATACACATGTGAAGTATAATAGCCCTAGTACCATTTATTCAAAAAAAAAATATATGGCCAAGGTTAACGTTTTTTCAAAAAGAAGGTCATACCGCAAGGTCAATGTCATGAGGTAAAAAAAAAAATAATGGCACCAAAGAAAGGTCTTGTAACAAATAATGCATACGTGAAATATGAAAAATCTAGCAGCAAGCTTTCAAAAGTTATAGGCAAGGACAAAGGTTATTTTTCAAATGTAAGTCAAGGCCAAGAGATCAAATATGTTGGTACCCAAAGAAAGGTCTTGTCACAAGGAATAGACCTATTAATGTATAAGAGTCCTGGCACCCACCATTCAAATTTTATGGCCAAGGTTAAAGTTTGGTAAACTTTTGAAAAAGTAGGTTAAACTCCAAGGTCAAGGTTGAAAGATAAAAAGTGTTGGTTTCCAAAGAAAGATCTGGACACATGGAATACACTTGTGAAGTATAAAAAACGGTAGCTTCAACCATTCAAAAGTTATGACCAACGTTGAAGTTTGGTAATTTTTTGCAAAGGTAGGTCAAACTCCAAGGTCAAAGTAAAGAGATAAAATATGCTGGTGCCCGAAGAAATAACCTTCCACAAGGAATACACATGTAAAATATGAAAGTCCTACCACCAACTATTCAATTCTATTTATTAGAATGTATCTGGTTAGAAGTGTGTGTACCTACCTGTAATTTTTTTCTCTGCTGTGTCTACCGTCCACCAAATAGCAACAAATCCTTTTGGAATAATCTTATGTGGTCTATAGAAAAAGCTTCTGATATTTCCAGTAAAATAATTTTAGTTGGAGACCTTAATGTATATTTCTTTAACATTCCTCGAACACACATCATGAATGAAATTCTGTTAAAATACAATCTCACAAACACTATCAATGAAGCCACTCGTATCACGAGCTCATCGAACACACTTATTGACCCAATTCTAGTCAATCCAGATATTTCAGTTCTTCACTCAGGCGTGTTACACACAGACAGTGCAATAAGCGATCACAAAGGGACATATATTTTTCTTAAATCAAGCGTTAATCTAGACCAATCTTATGAACGTAAGGTGTGGGTATATAAAAATGCAGACATAGACAAACTAAATTTACTTATCGAAAATACCGACTGGGCAAACCTCATTTGTAATGCACAAAATGTTAATCAGGCAACTGAAAACTTTTCTTTGGCATTCATGAATATAGTTAGACAATGTATACCTGAAAGATCTGTTATTATACGGCCGAAAGATAAACCATGGTTTGATTCCGCATTGCGCAAAACTCTTCGTATAAAAAATAGACTTAAACGAAAAGCCCAAAAAAGCAAAAAAGACTCTGATTGGACAAATTTTAAACAAGTGAGAAATAAGTTTAATAATATGAAAAAACATGCAATTGAAAATTACAAGAATAATCTAGAATTACATCTTACTGACGCTAGCAAAAACAACTCGAAACTATACTGGAAATTATTGAAATATGTTTTTAAAACTAAAGTTACCTCTGATATTCCACCATTACAATATATAACAGATACTGGTTGTACAAATATTGCTTATTCAAATGAAGAGAAAATAGATGTACTCAATAATTATTTTACATCTGTATCATGTGTTGATGATAGTGGCTCAGAATTACCTGAGGTATATCATGTATGTAACAGTGAAATTAGTAGTATATGTATTACTGAGCAAGAAATAATTGATATTGTATCAATACTTCCTACAAACAAAGCTATTGGTCCTGATAATATAAGCCACAAGATGTTAAAATCAGCAAAGTTTACTATTGCTAAACCGCTTTGTTTATTGTTCAATAGATCTCTGAATGAATGTATTTTTCCCTCCGGTTGGAAATTAGCAAATGTACTTCCTCTTTTTAAAAAAGAAGATCCTTCTGTAATGTCTAATTATAGACCAGTTTCATTGTTGAGCTGTGTTGGAAAAATCATGGAAAGAGTTGTGTTTAAATATATTTATAATTATTTTCATGACAATAATCTTTTTTATAAATATCAGGCTGGTTTTTTACCTGGTCACTCAACAGTGTACCAGTTAATAGAAACATATGACAACATTGTAAAAGCTATTGATGATGGAAAATTTTGTTGTATGGTATTTTGTGATCTTTCAAAAGCGTTTGATCGTGTTTGGCATAAAGGTATTTTATTTAAACTTAAAACATATGGAATTTCTGGTAGTCTGTACAAATGGCTTGAGAATTATCTTGAATGTAGATATCAACGGGTGATGTATCGTAACTTGTTATCAACACCCAAACCCTTATTTGCTGGTGTTCCTCAGGGCTCCGTTTTAGGACCACTTTTGTTTTTAATTTATGTGAATGATGTTGCTGATAATATGGTTACTTTTTGTAGATTATTTGCTGATGACAATTCTTTGCAGCATTCTTCTCATAATATGAAAATTATTGAAAGAGACTTAAACAAAGATCTAAATGCTCTGGAACTTTGGTCTAAAAAATGGTTATTGAAATTTAATCCCTCTAAAACTAAAGCAATAATGTTTAGTACAAAGAAAAACATAGAATATCCTAAGCTTCTTTTTCAACAATGTCAATTGGACTTCATCTCTGAACACAAACACCTCGGAGTATTTTTTTCACACGACGCTAGTTGGTCACTGCATATTGAAAATCTACTGTCTAATGCCTACAAAAAATTATCTCTTTTGAAAAAATTAAAATTTAAAGTAAATCGAAAAACTCTCTCACTCATGTATACGTCATTTATAAGACCGCAACTTGAATATGCTTCAGTGGTATGGGGATGCTGTCAATATAGTGATAACGATAAGTTAGAAAAACTGCAACTTTATGCTGCTAGAATTGTAACAGGGTTAACAACTATAGCTTCTAAAGATTCACTATACTTTGAAACGGGATGGGAACCTCTTAGTTGTAGAAGACAAGAAGCTAGAATAAAAACTATGTTCAAGCTTCATAATAATTTAGTGCCTGAATACTTAATGGACTTACTTCCAGATATGCGCTGTAACACATCTATATACTCTACAAGAAATTCTCAAAATTATGATATTCCAAAATGTCGATTACAAACTTATAAGTCTACATTTATTCCGACAGTAGTTAATGAATGGAACTCAATTCCACTCGAAATTCGAAATTTACAGTCAATGTCAAAATTCAAATCTAAAATTAGTACTAAAAAATCTGCTCCACCATCATACTTTGATTACGGTAACAGACGACTAAATGTTCTGCAAACCAGACTACGGCATAATTGCGTATTGAATAGCGACCTTTATAGATGCAATTTAATATCAAGTCCTTTATGCTCCTGTGGTAAAGTTGAGGATACATATCATTATTTTTTTGTATGTCCAAAGTATGAGAAAGCCAGAAAAGAATTCTTAAATAAATTTTTACAATTTGACAAGATCCACATTCTAGATACTCATGTCTTATTATGGGGGGGTAGATTCATTGAATGCTGCAGAAAATGAACGTCTCTTTTCTTTTGTTCAATTATTTATTAAACATTCTGGTAGATTTCCTTGTTAGCATTAACTAATGTATCAGTATATGCATTGGTACAAAATTAAGTGTATCTATATATCAGCAAAATGCATCGTTTTGTAAACTTTTGCAATTATTGTATACTTTAAAACTTCATGTTTAACTGTGACGATTTAAATATGTAATTTACATGTAGGGAGAGGGCGTAATAAGTTTTCAGAACTTGTGCCCAATCCCATTGTATTTATTAATTACAATAAAATATGTTCAAACCAACTATTCAAAAGCTTTGGGTAAGGTTAAAGTTTTCGCGGACAAACAGATTAACAGACAATCAGACGGACGGACGGATGGACAGACCAAAAACTTTGTGTACCCGAATCTTCGATTACGGGGGCATAAAAAATTAAAGAAAATTATTTATTGACTGCTGTAAATATATCCAAGTTTAGTTCATATCACTTAAACGGAATATCGGCCTTTATAGATGAGGTAGGACTTTGCATAAAAAACAATCACTTCTTATTTCCACTTGTTTGTATATTTGGGAAGGGACAGTAGAAGGGACAGCGCATTGGATAATCTAAAGAAATACTACTTTTTTTCCCAAAAGCTTATGATGAAACCAATACATGTATCATTGCTTATCTTCTTTTTCAGACCCGTAGCCCGCCCTCCCTTTTTTCATCAGTATATTTTGCTACAGCAAATTGGTAAATTTTCATTTAGATGCTCCCCCCCCCCATTTTTTCTTGTTGTAAGGTCGAGCACTGGGAAATCCCAGGTTTAAGAAAGTTTAGGTTTTCGTCAGATTATTCTGGAAAATTAAGTTGCCCCCTCCCAACTTTTACTCTTTGGACACTAAGTTTTTTTTCTTTACTTGTCTGATTTTTTAGCGAGGCTTCCCTTTGAAACCGTTCCTACGAACCTGGGTTTTTTTTTTCATGTGAACTAGCTTCAATCCCACTTTTTAATTTCCTGAATGACTGATTTATTTATTACGAAATTATGTCAAAAACTAAAATTTTTACATTTCCTTAGAATGAAAAAAAAAATTGCACAAAGAGTTAACTGCTTATACTGAATTAAGAATATTGAAAGTTTTTATTTCCTCTAAGACAAAGGTTCTAATCAAAAGTAACAGCGTAATTTGTCACAGTCTGTTTCAATGTCCGTTGTCTGTCGTTTGTACATAATTATGTTCCCCAAACGAAGTTTGGGAACATATTGTTTTTACTTTCTTTTTTCTAGATTTCTTCTCCGGTACTTTTTTGTCCGCGAGTGTTCTCGGAAACTACTCATCTGTTGGGGATGAAATCTTTTTAGGGTTAACAGGCATGTTGTGTATAGATGTGCGGAACGAAGGTCATTTTGCGCGCACATGCATGCACGTGCGAGCCGTGCAATGAGTGAAATGACTGATGTACTTGATATAGCCGAAACTTTTATAGTTTTTGATAAAATGCTTTCAAACTCATAACATAAAGATATATTTATTTAGTAGTGTTGACAAAATGAAAATGTCAAATTAGCATGAACTCACGCGCATGCACGTGTGCTTTGCTCTGATTGGTTAAAACAAATATATTGTTTTTTGACAAAATACTTTGATATTTAAAATATAGGTATATATTACAAGGTTCTACAATACAATTCTACAATACAATATATACGAAAATTCTTGAAAACACGCGCGTGCACGTGCACTCCAATTTGATTGGGTGATACTTTAAAGGGCTTTAACTTCTTTATTTTTCAACAAAACAGGATGAAATTTAGAATATAGATAGCTAAAATGTGTTCCTACATTACAATTCTATCACAATTGAACACAAGGACTTGCATGCACGTGTGCTGAATCCTGATTGGCTAATACGCTATTGGCTGTAACTCTATTACTATTCAATGAATAACTTTGATATTTAAGATATAGTTGTATATTGTGATACCCTATAAGAATACATATGTGAGAAATCTAGAAAAACGCACATGCTATAACTTTCTTAGTTTTCAAGAAAAAAGACAAAATTCAGAGTATATGTTAATATCAAAAGTCTCTACATTACGATATTATCATACATGAATACGAGGATCGACACTCATGCACGTGTGCTGAATTCTAATTGGTTAATATTCCGATTGCTGGAATTTTCTATGTTTTCAGTTAATTCTTCAAAATCTAAAATATAGCTCTACATTATAAGATATTATATATGAGATGATGTATATGGTAATTTTGAAAGCACGAGCTTGCACGTCCACTGAAAGTTGATTGCTTACACTATTTTGTGCATTGTTATTAAAATACTTTGGAAAATAAATTGTAAGTCTGTGATGCAAAGAATCTGCCTTATTCAATGAAACTTACAGAAAATGGGGCACCAAGAGGGAGTAGGGGAGTGTTTGGGGAACAAATGTAACGACTCCGTTACAATTAGAACTAGTTTTTCAACATTTCTGAATTCTTTTACAGTGTCATAAGACCAATTTCAACTAAACCTGCCGCAAAGCAACTAAACTAAACTTTGTACAAATGAAGAGCAATGCTCTTTTTTCAAGCGGAGATAATTAAGAAATTCTAAGTAGTGAAGTCGATCGATCATTTTTTTTTTAAAATCTTCTCAGGAATCACGGAGCCAGAAGAATCAAAACTCACGCGGAAGCTTTGTTTTATATATATATGGTGAAGTTTAAAGTTTATCCAAATCACGACCTAGGGATTCAGGTGGAGCCAAAATTTTACATTGGAATATAGTAAAATGTATGGAATATATAGAAAATAAATTATTTAAAATCTGCCTTTGAATATCAGAAGGGCTGCAATTATTCATGTAAGTAAACAAATATATCCCTATATGAAGCGAAGATTCAAGATGTACAAATCACTCTACATTCAAGATTGGTCAAGCCATTGTCCCTGGAGGACAGCAAGTGAAAGTAAGGGATCATGTGTGTAAAACTAAGGAAAATTCTTCTTATCCAAGACCGTGAGATCCAAGGTAACTCGGGGGAGTGCTGGAGTCCGCGGGACTCTTGTTTAATTCATACCATGCAAATGTATCTCACAATCTTCATGACGAGGCTAATACCCTTAGACAGCACATTACAGTTATGTGAACTAGTGTCACCGTGTCAAATTATATATAGTACAAAGAAGCACAGGGCAGCTATAGAATACAACAAATCAAGATGCTTAGTAATTATTTTTATGCCCCCTTCGAAGAAGGGAGGACATATTGCTTTGCTGCTGTCTGTCGGTCCATCAACAGTTTCCGTTCATTTTCTTGCAGAGGTTGCACATACTGAAATGAAATTTGGTATACAGATTTATCATAAAAATATTGAGCTCAAGTTCTGTTTTCAGTACGATTGAGCAATTTTTGAAAGAGTTATGCCCCTTGGACTTAGAAAAATTCCAATTATTTGCAGTTTCCGTTCATTTTCTTCGCAGACGTTGCACATATAGACTGAAATGAAATTTGGTATATAGATTTATCATAAAAATATCTAGGTCAAGTTTTGTTTTGGGTACAATCGAGCAATTTTTGGCAGAGTTATGCCCCTTGGACTTAGAAAAATTCCAATTATTTGGCGGAGGTAGGGGAGGGGCATAAGTGTTTCATAAATATCTCTTGTTAATTCATTTATTTATCTTTTTTTTTTTTTTTAACTTTTTTTAATAATTATTTTACTTGAGATCTTACATGTAGTTTTAAAACTACGAAATTAATAGAAGTTACTTTGGTCATATACATCAATATATCTTTTGTTATAAATTGTTCAGTGGATACTGTACGCAGTATTATCTAATTGCTAGAACCTGAGAACTATAATTTAATTATACAGTTTCCCTTGTATGACAGGCTTTACTTCCGATTCTTTATTATCCTTATTCAGCTAAATCAGTGTAATAAACCCATTTCGTGCCGTCTTCATTTTGTCTATTTGACATGTGGGCGCGGATTTTTCCGATGAAAAGATAAAACAAGATCCACGCGTGAGTTTTACGACCGAGACGTCTTGATGGTCAGATTTTGGCCGGAGGAGAAATTCTCTGCGTGTCCGTTATGGTTTATTCGCTGTCGAGCTTTTCTCTTTTTTATCTATATATTAAATAGATTTGATTGTACGCTATAAAACCTCTTTGTGAATGATTATGTTTGTATTGGAAGACCATTTAAACCCTACAAACACACCCCAAACGGAGAAAGATAATATTTAAACCAAATAAGTAATACTAAAGTGACCTGAATTCCGTGTACTCAGAAAGGAATTTCTGAAATACTATATAGGCAAGCCCAGTAGACCGTGACTGCTGTACAGAGAAAATGTACAGCTGACATATACACTATATATAAGTAAAGTGCACTGTTTAGGTCAGTTCGACTAGCTTAGGTTTAAAATAGTAACGTGTCAAAATTTAATATAATTGCAAAATTAATGAATGCGCGATGCTTCTCCTCGTATGAAGATAGCAATGCATATTAAGTGACAGTCTATACAGTGGGAGACCTTGGCGTGACTTTGTGGGTACGCTCTCTGCGTCCTTTTATCCTTGGAAAAAAAAAGACTCTACTTGTCTATATGAGACTATTCTATTTTTTTTTCTTGAGTTTTTAGTGATACCTGATAAACGTATACGTAGGAAAGACCGCAAATTTGGGAGCGTGAGGGGAGTTATGAAACAGGTTTATTTGACGGGTGGTGTGACGCCGTGGTAGAAGAATATCCCCTAGGAGCCCCAGAGGTAGGCGATTTCCATATGACATAGTTGATACATATCAATCAAACAGCGAAACGGACTGGATGCTAGTACATGTTAGGATTTTTTCTGATTTTCTGTTTTTACTTGTGAGTTTTAAGGCAAAATAACGTATGGATGAATTACGCATTATGTAACAAGATACAATACAGTGATTCCTGGAATTAAAGCACTGTGTTTTTTTTACGCAAAATACTGAAATGTTATTTTTAGGATAGGAAACAGCAACAGCTATGGATCATGGATATATAGCAAAACGAGTGGAGGATAAGATCCCCCTTCCCACCCCTGTCCCACACCATAGGAGGAACAAATTTCGTGAGACCACCCGATTTTACCAGTTTGCGTTATTTTTAATTCCTCTGGGGACGCTCTTCATCGCTATAGGCGTCCTTATCCCCCACTGGCTGGCCGTGCAGATTGTAAACTTTGTTACCCTTAAAGAGGATTACAACATAGGACTGTGGGAGAAATGTGACACTCTCAAGGAAAAATGTGAGAAACGCCTTGATTCATCCCTAAAAGGTGCGTTAAAACAATTTCCCTGAATTTTAATTGAAACAGACTTTTGGGTTTAGGCTTTAAAAGTATGTTAACAGTTGTTTCTTTCCATGTTTTGTTAAACTCTATGCCCCAGGATTCTATGAACTTGCTCTAGTTTTTAACCTCCCTAATTTTGGCTTTTGCATGAGTACATTGATAGAATTACTATTTTTACTGCCTATATTGGAATGTTATGTGTGTTTGTTATGGTTCTTCGGGTCTGTTTGGTTATTTGACACCGTATAAATTTAGACAATGACTAGTAGAAATAGTTTCCTTATTGAATTCGTCTCGGAGGAATGGCTTTTGTGCTTATTTAATGAAGAATGCGTAAAATTAAATACATTGAATAATGAATACTTGGTTATTCTACGGCAAGAACAGGACAAATGATGGGAAAATAATGTACATACAATGGCCACCAAAGGTGTTGACAAATAAAGATGATCATGATATACGGGGTATTTAAACGATGAAAATGGAAAAAAAAAGACTAATCAGGCATTAGATAGACTTTGATCTGGCCCCGTGGTCATATTAGAGTCTGGTTATGTATGCTGATGTTTGTAAGCTTCTTCGCCATGATAGGATAAAATAGGTGTAAGAGGACGTAATTTTGCTCTAGCTAGTATAACATAGCACAGGGCTGTATATGAAAGGAACTCGGTATGAAATATGCTTTAAATGTTAGTCCTTTGTTCTTCAGGCAGGTCTGAGTTGAAAAATGAAATAAAACCTTTATGTAAAATTATCTTTTTATCTTTACATCTCAACTGATGTCTCGGGTACCCAAAGGGGATTATTACGAAACATGTCAATAGAGACTAGGTTGACAAAAATGTTCCCCCAAATCAAATTAGAAACTTAATCGATGGCCATATATCATTCATAATTCACGTTCTTTTTAATTTAAGCTGTCGCTCTGTGTTAAATGTTCGTCCAGAATGTTGATCGATTCCAAATTTGTGTCATATAGCCCCATAACAATTTATTTATCGTATCGGATATCTCTATGTACGACGTGTTTCTGTAACAAAATAGGATACCTATATAATAGTACAATGTTTCAGGCGCGCGCTAAATGTTACAGGACTGACCAAGTCAGAACAACTTAAACTACTGGGATAGTATAACTATAGAGTAACAATATGATTTATCATCACTATTGATTAGGCATATATAATATATACATATACAATTATATCTCAATAAACTTTAAACATACACTGTATATTTAATTTCCTTTCCTATTTTCATGCACATCTTCATTCATACTCAGTTTTAATATAGCACTACGATACCCCATAAACATCAAAATATTTTGATATATTCTCTCAAACGGACTGATTCATTAAAGTGTGTGTCGCAAGATCGAAGTGTTTTCATGAATCATTGATTGGTTATTTTGCGATGGTCAACGTAAAGGAATGCGTCGTGGGTGTAACTATCTGGACTTAATGACCGATCATACCTGCATTCAGATCTTTAACTAAGTCGGTTGTGGCGATGAATATACATGAGGTTATAGCAGTGATCAATCTCATAAATCCACTAAACAAAAAGAATTGTGAACAGGGTAAAAACGCAGACCCCTGTAAACACCAGAGGTGGGATCAGGTGCTTAGGAGGAGTAAGCATCCCCTGTCAACCGGTCACATCCGCCTGTGTATTGATCAGGTAGACGGAGTATACCCCGTAGCCAAATTTAGTATAAAAGCAATGACCTTCCAAATTGTATGAAAACATCTCAGACAAAATACTACCCAACGATACGTTGTATTTACAAACAATGTCATTATAGCGAAAAGATTACTTTAAACATGGTTGTTGAAATCCTTGTAACATCAACTTATTTGTCAATCGCTTGCCTCGGTTTAAGAACTGATCGTACTCAGAGCATGATCAATAAAGAGCTAGGTAGTGTTTACAAGAAACCAGACGTAGTTTATGGCCAGTAATGTGATTAAAGTTAGTCTTTAGTACTGTTGGTTCAATCTTACGACATACTGATATAAGTAAGTTATTTTTTCACCATAGTAACTTAATCATGATAAATCTATGAATATGTTCACATTATGAACGTTGTAGGCAATCAATCGGCAAAACTTCCGACATGCAGGGCAGTAATCAAGTCAATGTACAATTGCTCTTAAAAGGGCCAGACCTTACAGAAACATTTTGCTAAAATATAGAGATATCTCGATACATTAATACTCGTTTTGAGCTTCATACTTTTTTTGCTTGTGTACTAGTAGAATGTTAATTATGTCATAAACACGCAATCATGTTCAGGTAGTATATACTAGTGCTATTTATAGATATCGCACTTTTTCTCTAGACTTTGAATTCACTGTGAGGGCCTTTGCTGTTTCTGGTCTGGTAGTGTCGATCATAGCCTCCGTGCTGATTGTCCTGTGTGTGTTCGTCCCCAGATTTGCAGAGCGAATTTTGTTCCATGTGCTCACTTCCGGAGTCTGTTACCTTGGAGGTAAGTCAATTTTGCGGGAACATTCAACGTTTGTCAAGATCCAAAATCATTTCCACGAATTATAACTATTGTTGTGATTTTTTAGCATTCCTATCTCTGTGCAGCATCACCATATACGCCGCAGAACACAAGATAAACAGGGCCTATATGTTGTCTTACTCCTTTTACCTCATTCTATTTGGCGCTTTCTTTGGGATACTTTCCTCCGCCATTTTGATAAACGTTTATGTGTACAGGAAATGGAAATACGAGAAAAGGATGTTGAAAATTACTCGTAGAGATGTCCATGTTCCAGGACAACAGAATACACGAGCGGCTAGTGACTATGGAGATGATCAGGACGATGTGCCGAGCGAGAAGAGACGATATAGCGATGATGATCGCTCCAGGTACAGCGACGAGATGTCAAAACAAAGCGACAACTTTTCCGCTAAACAAAGCGAGATTTGAATGAGGAACTTCATGTTTAGAATACACGATTAAGCCATTCAGGGATACCATCGTACGTTAGTTACTATGTGAAACCCTAAAATAGCTGGCTTTAATAGTCCAAAGAAACAAAGGAGCTCATGGTGGACCCTTGTGTGTACATTAATATAACGCCAGCAGCATGTTGCCTATATTCTGTAGGTTTATTCAGTATTACACGGAGGATATTGGAAAGATACAGTGTAACATGTTACAGTTATATATATGCGTGAGTGGATACTTATATGCGTGATTTGTGTTTAGTTCAACAGCGCCGGGACGGAATAATTTTCATGATGTCTCATTTAAACTTATTTATTCTTTGTGCATATATGTTACACTTACAGACAATCGGAAGCGTCCTGTCGCTGTATTTAACGATGTCATAGAAAATGTCCTAAAGATCACCATTCTTCATCTTTTTCTTAATGCGCAATAGATCTACTAAGATTAATTAAATTCGCAGTGCTTATTTTTCATTGTTGCTGACAAGTGTTGACAAGTCATGGATGAGTTGAGTGCCGTTATACTTTCGTTTTAAAAGGGCATATAAAGACTATGTCGTTCACATGGAATAACCATTTATATTATAGATGATTTGATATACGGTATATGTGCTAGTATTTTTAAAAGAAAAAAAACATGAAAAAGTTCAGTTTTTCAAATGACAAAAGAGTGCCTTTCTTCTTAAAGGACATCTCGTTAAGCTTTCAAAGAATAACAGCTGAAATGTAGGTAAAATGACCCTGGATTCGTCACTGAGGATATGTTCAGACAAGGAATTAAACTATTTTGTCTGTAAAGCTATTTTTCCCCTCATGTAAATATCACTTGCCCGTACATGCACTTCAGACAATAGATTTTGACAACGACACATATTTGTTTTTTCTTAATTATCAAAAGCATATTTCTGTGCACTGATAATATAATTAAGTAGAATAGTCCTGATATAACGATATTAGCATATTGTAATTTGAATATATATTCCAGTATTGCGATATTCTACTAAAATTATTGCACACGCTCTACGTAATTTAAAATGATATACAACATAAGCGTATACCAAAAGTGTCATATTCATAGTGGTGTATAAAGTTATACTGCCTATATTTCATGCATATCATATTTGTTGTATTTATGTATGTTAAATGTCCAGTAACTATAATACTGGATAGTAATAAAACGAGAAAACATTTTCAAATGGTTATTTATTCAAAATCGATTAAAAATCTTGTCCTGAAAGTACAAAACAATGGTTTTTATTTTCTTTTTTTTGAGGGGGAGGGTCTTTTTTTTATCGCAGAGGATGAATATTTTTTTCAATATTCTGGAAAGTTTAGTACAATTTATTTTATTGATTTAATACTTGTCTTTCAAAAGACGAATACATTTTTTTTCTTCCTCGCGTTCAAATAGTAAATTCATTAGAAATTTTGAGTTTTTAAACACACACTTATTGAGCTTTGCTACTGACATATGACAAACAGTTGATGCAAGAGACGTTTCTTTGGCTAAATACAAAAGAAACTCTGGAAATATACCCTCATTTCAGGAAAAGGAGATGGGTGAACATGACGAGCGATAAGCCTATAGTGTGACAAACATGAAGATGAAAAAAATTAAATTTCAATTATATCAAAATTTTCCTTGATATTTCGTCTAACATTAAATTATACTTTATGTAAAATCTCTATAATTTGCAAAAATCCCTCAAAGATTGGAATTATTTATCTGTGAAATATTAGACACACACTAAAGCGGGCAAAAAGAGTCATTTTCTCATACTATAATACTATTTTTCGATATGAGTGGGTCTTCGCTCCACCTTTTTGAAAGTGAATCCTCAATGTTTGCATAAAAATATACATTTTTTGGTTACCAAAAATATGGAGCAATGACCCACTATACCTTAAAAATATACTTTTATGACATAACATTCGTATCTTTTCGAGAAATACTTGAAGTCCATTAAGTCAAGGGTCATATCACAAACATGATTTAGATGCCACTATTCATCAGGACTTGTGTATAGTCTAGTGGTTAGCGTGCTAGTCTCGAAAGAAAATAATACTTAGGATTTTTATTGCTAGGGTTCGAACCCACGAATACCACATTAATTTTTTTTTTAAAAAGAATAAATTTTGCCGAGAAAATTATCCTCAGAAAAGTTTTGTTTATCATAATTTCATAAATTTCAATAATGAGAACTTTACTCTAAATACTAAATTCACAAACTGAACATGATTTTTATATATCCGAAGTTATAGGCTTTCTGCACGCTATGTTCGCCCATCTCCTTTGAAGGCTGTTAATAAGTATCACTCATTAATAAAATCAGCAGTAATTAATACTATTATACTTTCACCTGCTTTTAATTTAAACAATATTTCGTTTCATTATATATTTAATTGAATAATTTCTAGCTTTCTGATTGGCCGAGACCCCAACATTGTAGAAAAAAATACTACGTTACATGTATGTTCACCTACACGTGACCTTCCAGGTGAACACAAGAATTTATTTTTTCTTCATAGGACTAAAAATAGATTGAGAACTCCCAAATTTATACATATAGTTCTGAAAAATAAATTATTTTTATTGCAACCGATTTCCACTCAGGTGAACAATACTTAGGCGCATACTCCCTCATCACACTTTTTTTCTGAATGTAATTTTTTTTTATTATTTATTTAGGATGAAAATGTTCATTGAAAGACTGGCCCCCCACTTTCTGATACAGTATAGTCAAACCCCTCGTGCGTTAATGGACCCCCCCCCCTCCCCTAAACACATACAAATTATAATAAGTTTATTCACCAATCAAGTACGGAAGCCGGTAGGTGCCAGGTAGAAAAATGTTTTATCTGGCGGCCGCCACATAAATAACTGGCACCCTCCAGAAATTTTCCGGCGGCCGCCAGATAAATAGATCTGGTGGCCACCACTTAGATATAACTGACGGCCGCCAGAAATTATATGGCGGCCGCAGGATAGTTATCTGGCGGCCGCCAAATAATTATCTTGCGGTCGCCAGTTACTTACGTGGCGGCCTCCAGATAAAATATTTTCTAATTGGCACCTACCGGCTTCCGTAATCAGGGGGCATTAACAATCAGTATGATCACATTTAAATATCATAATATTATTAAAATATTAATCATTTCTTCAATGGAGGAACAAATGGAAGATGTACAATACCACATTTATGATACTCGTGAAAATGTAAAATATGTAATATATCACAGTTGTCTGAAACAGGGTCAAAAATATTGAAAAGGTAGAAAACCACATGAAGATATAGAACACGATAATAATAATGTACACTAACAGTGTAAAAAGAGAGAGAGAGAGAGAGAGGGTACCCAAGGGCGATGCCGGTGCACAGTCAATCTGACTTTTATATTCCAGTATTCACAATCATTATACCGATTTGCACTGGTATTTGAAATCTTTATTTTTTCCACAATAATGAATTTGGAGTTTGATTTGGAGAATTCTCCTCTTTTTTTTCTTTGGAAGGGGGGGGGGGGGCTATTCAAAGATTTTTTCAGGAAATTCGTCAATTTTTTCCCTTATCGTAGGCCCTTTCAAAATTGATTCAACATGCCTAATATTTATTTTTTTCTACATCGCACCTTAAATAAAGAACTTCCAAATTAATACACCTGATTATGTTTATTTTTTAACCCCGCTTCTTCATTTCGTTTGGCTGGAACCCCAGCAAATGTAAACAAGTAAGATGTCATAAATTGCTTAATGAAATTTTATCATTTTATACTCATATAAAAAACAATTATTGCTGGGGGATTTTCCCATCAATATGCTATTTATCCCTCTTCGGGCTCGGTAAATATCATACTTCTCAGGTAGCTAAATCAGCGTATTGACATCATAAACAGAAATAATTGTTTAAGCTGTAGATCTGTAGCTAGCTGGTCTTGGGGGGGGGGGATGGACGACCAGAGAGCTTCATTGCTACCCATTTATTTATTGCGCACAAAAAAGCTGTCTCGATTTATTAGTGCTATCTCAAAATATCAATAACCGTGTGTTCCCAACATATTCTATTACTATTTCCAAAACAAAACTTTCCCCCAAAACGTTGTCTATAGCCTTCCTGGGCATGAAATGGAGACCATCAAAAATTTCACCTATTTACACTACCATTTTGGGTTACAAGACGAATATACATGTATATTCCTTCTGTCAAGATATGCGTTAATATACTCCATGTCAATTTTACTGAAAAGCTGTATATAGAATATATATCTTCTCTATCCATACAAAGTGCTTCAAATTGACATATCAATTCAAAAGACACCAACAAATGCTGCTCAAGGATCAGTATTTCAACTGAGCTGCATTCAATTTTCTTCAAATATAAAAACACTCTGCCACCTGTACCTTAATACAGAACAAAACATTTTAAATGACTTTTTTTTATTGATACATTAGAATTTTTTGAATCCCTTCTTGTTGTTGGCACCACCCTTGGCGACCTTCAGGACATTGAAACGGACAGTCTTACTGAGTGGTCGACATTCTCCCACTGTCACAATGTCTCCAATCTCAACATCCCTGTAAAATCAGACAAAGCTTTTATTCCACATTTTGTATCAGACAAATCATTTATTCCACCAAGAATGTCTCAGACAAAATCATATCATTATTGCATTGAGATTATATAAGGTTTTAGCTCATCTGAGGTAAATTCTCCTTATCAAGTGTTGTCTACCATCATTAACCCCCCCCCCCCAAATTTCTTTGACAACTCCCATACCAAAACCACATGTCCAATTCAAACCAAACTTGACATAGAGCATCCCATTGTAAAGGTTATTCAAGTTTATACATAAAACAAGGAACCACATCCCTTTCAACAAAAGAATTGGGCAGACATATAAAATTTTGAGAACCACACATATGAAACTTGACATTGTTGAGATGATGACCATCTCAAAGGGCCCCACTTTTAGAAAAGGACATTATGATGTAAGTTAGTTCTAAAGCACTGTTTTGGAGAGGACCATTTTGTAATCATGAAAGTTTTGTCTTAGTGTTAAGGAAAAAAAATTCTTTCTGCATTTTTATCTTGCTTTTTTCCCTTATTTTGGGTACATAAGTAAAAAAGGAAAAAATTGTAAATATTGATTACAAACAGAAATTCATTGATTTATTTGACTACAAGAATTAAGGCCAAATAAAAAAATATGTGTGGTTCCGGTTACCCGACCTTCCCTATTTTATACCCCCGACCCTAAACTTTTTTTTGGCAATTTTCATTTTTTTCGCGGAATTTCCCCCGATTTCCATCAATGGCTCCAGTTTAAGTTTTAGTTTCAGCAATGACGGCCTCCTTGCAAAACATAGTGCAAGTGTTTACCAGTGTTAAATCCAAAGCAAGCTAGCATGTATGTGTCCCCTACCAATATTGACTAGTATAATATCACACCACATCTAAATGCCATTTGCAAAGCAGTGATAGGTATTATTTAGAAAAAATTAAGAAAATCATTTTGTTAAAAAAAAAAAAAAAAAAATCCCTACCTACCTACCCTAATTTTTTTGGAAGTGTATCCGGAACCACACATATTTTTGTGTTTGGCCTAAGCTGCTGAATTTTTTTTTTTTTTTAAACTTGTAGAAAAGAAATAGTATATGTAAGAGATGCAATATAATAAAACCATATTTCCAAAAAGGGCCAGAGAATATGCTTCGGAAAGAATTTTTTTTCCACCTTGACCTTAGATCTAGAAAATTGTTCAAGGTCACTGCACACTCTCTACCATGGGCACTCTATGGGTGAATTTGAGCCAAACTGGGCCAAGGGGAGAAAAATATGCTCCAGACAAGGAATTTACACAGAGGAATTTTTTACCTTGCCCTTTGATCTAGAAAACTGGTTCAAAGTCACTGCACACCCTCTACCCACTGGCACACTTTGGCTGAAGTTTGAGCCCGACTAGGCCAAGGGGAAGGAAATATGCTCCAGACAAGGAATTTACACAGAATTTGACCTTGACTTTTGATCTAGAAAATTGTTCAAGGTCAATGCACATCCTCTATCCACATACAATCTAAGGATGAAGTTTGAGCCCAACTGGGCCAAGCGGAGAGAAAATATGCCCCGGACAAGGAATTTAGACAGAGTTTTTCTTTTTACCTTGACCTTTGATCTATAAATTGGTTCAAGGT